CACTCCCTAGACACTTCCCTAGACACTCCCCTAGCCGCCCCCTCTCCCTCCCCCGTGGCAGGTCGGCATCAACGACACCGGCACCAGCGAGGCGCGCGCCATCATCACAAACCTGGTCGCCGCCGTGCCGTACCGCTTCCAGGTCGCCGCCGTCAACTGCGCCGGCGTCGGTGCAGACTCGGAGCCGTCGCCGCAGCTGTGCGTTGCTCCGGAGCACCCCCCCACGCCGCCGCCCGTCGCCAGCCGCATGTCTGATGGGTTCGACCTCCTAGAAGCGGAATACGTGTTCTTGTGCTCCAACTGGCGCCCGAGAGGACACGCACTCCGCCGTATTCGGCCGCATTCCGCTGTCTTCACTGTATTCTTCTCCGTTGTCTTCCCACGCATTCCGCTGTATTCACTGTATTCTTCTCCGTTGGACTCACGCGGTGCTCTGAAGACGCTGCACAAGACCGTCTTCCCGCCCTCATGTTGGCGTATGCCGCACGGTAGGCTCGACCTCCTCTCGCTCGCCGCCGCGAACCGTCGAAACGACGCCGCCCCCGGCTGCACGGCCACCGAGACAAAGGTGGTGCGCGCGCTCTCCGAGGGGCACTGCCCCGCCTCGCTCGAGCCGCTACGTCACCTCTCCCCCGCCCGCTCGTTCGACGTCTTCTGACGGGGCGCGGCCGCCGGCGCGGGCTGCCCTGCGAGCCCCGTGCCCGCGGGGGGTGTAGCCGGCCTACTCTGCCACACACCCCTCTCGCGGGGGCCACCGAGTGTGATCTCGAGAGTGGAGTGGCGAGGTTGCACCTCCCGCCCTCTGTCTTCGCGCGCGGGCGAGCGCGCCACAGGAGCCCCGCCTCCGCGGCGCGTGGCATCGGGCGGAGCTTATTCACGGCGCGCGCGGAAGCATCGCGCAGTCCCGCTGGGAACGTCTGATCTGTCACATTGCGGCCTCTCGCAGCCGGGTGTGAGAGGGGCGAACGCTGTCGATGTTTTCCCCTTTGCCTTTCCATACTCCCTGATTGGTGTGAGCGTGTACGGTGCTTGATGACATGTGCGTGTGCGTGCGATTGGGCCGATCTAGCCGATAGGCGATAGGACGCATATTGAAACAAGATTGAAGTATCGCGCAGGGGATGAGGTTTCCGTCATACGTGGACATCTCTGGACTCTGCGCAACAGCCAACACATCGGAACACGGAAGATCCTTGAGGGCGGACTGGTATAGAGAATAGACCGTACGGCTTTAGGCCTTTTTGACATAGAGATCTCTTTTTTCTCCATTCTCCTGTGCCAAGAGCAGCAGTAGATTGAAGAACTGGTGGAGGCAAATCTTCTCCGGTGTAGATGCTCGAGAGGAGTCTGAGATGTCGAGTTGGTGCGTGCAGTCGCTTGAGACCTTGCGACAGAGGTGGGGAGATTCTGACTTCGCGGGCCAAAGACGCCTAGTCCCTAGAGATCGTCATCGTGTGGGCCGGAGATTGCAAAATGGCGCGAAAAGAGGGTGGAGATCCTTTTGCATAGTGAATGAATCCATAGGGCGTGCGCATCTCCTTGAAGGTTTGAGCCCCCCGGTCCTCCCCCGGCCCCCGAATCGAGATTGGAGATTGGAGATTGGAGATGGAGATCGGAGATCTGAGTTCTGACTGAATCCGGCCTAAGATGACGACGTTGGAGATTGGATTGAAGATGGAGATCGGAGATCTGACTGGATCCCCGGCCTAAAGATGTGCCGACGCTGGAGATTGGAGATTGGAGATCACAGAGGCCGGCAGCAATCACGACCTCCATTTTCAATATTCAATCTCACATCTGGGGCGGACGGCTGGGCGCACTATCTCTACCCCAACGATCTCCTGTTCTTGCGCAGAGATGTCCATTAGTTACTCAAGCTCGTGTGCCCCCGTGCCCCGATCAGGATCACGCAACGCTGCACGCCTGAGAGAGAGACTTCTCCTTCACGCCTGTGGAGTTGCCTTCTGTGGCAGCAGCAGCGTCGGCTCCGCGTGGACTTGCAGAGATCCTACTCCAGCGAGCCGTTGTTTCTTGCTTGTGGCCTCGGCCTCTGCCTTCTCCTCAGTCCCTGAGGATTCGCCCGCGCCGTCACCGGCACAGTCACCGTCACCGTCGCCGTCCGAGTCGCCGTCGCCGTCACCGTCGCCGTCGCCTTTGCCGGTCTTGGTTAGCCCGGGAGGACACTGCGTCATCACAGGTGGCGGATCCTGCGCCACCAACAAGGGCTACCCGGGAACGTATGGAAAGGGCGACGAATGCACCCTCACAAACGTGCCCGAAGTGCTACTCGACGTGCCTACTTTCAACCTCGCCTCCTACCAGGTCAATCCGGACGCACCAGAGAAGGGCTGCGAGAGCAACGGGTGGGTGGACTACGTCCTCGTCAACGGCGTCAAATACTGCGGCACCACCGGACCGACTGTCGTCGCCTCCAACGGAACAATCACTTGAGCGGTCTGGACACTAACGGCGGCCATACCCTGACGAATGATGAATGAACTTGGAGCACTTGGAGTGCAGTGGGCAACCTCACATCCAGGGCCGGTGAGCTGAGAAGCGCATCCAGCGGGCCGGATGATCGGTATCGGGTTACGGGCTAGAGAGCCCTAGCCCCGGGGGTGCGCGTTCGCAGGGCAAGGGCCTTAAAGTAAACACGGGTCTCCGAGGGTTGGTTCTGCGCTTTGGGTGTCCCCTAGCGGCGGAACGCCCCCTCTACTCGGAGCTAGTAAACACCAGACACATGAATGAGAATTTTACTCGAGTACAACAAAAGCCGGTCGCACAACACGATTCACGCGACAGGCAAGGCACGGGCGACGGCTTCCTCAGAAGCCGTCGTCCTCACCGTAGCCGTCGTCGGACCCCCAATCAGGGGGTCGGCATTTTGACACGCGTGTACGTGGCGGATGCCGGGCGGCGCAGCACGCAGCTGTCAGGTGAAACGCCATGACTCCGACTGGCGGGCGCCATGCAGCGCAGAGACGAATGCGACAATGGGCTGGTGGAAGTGGCTGCTGTCCAGCACCGCTCACAGGCCGCGCCGCCTCGCCTTCGTGGCTGTGTGCACACGTGGCTCGTTCGTTTCCATCTTTGACTATGCAGACTATACCGAACGCTTCCTCGGCATCCGACAGCCGCTCTTCCTGTGCATCCCGGGCAAATACGGCTGGCAGGACCCCATCTTCTTGCGTCTGCACAAGCTGGTGATTGGACGCTTCGGTGCCAGCTCGCTCCATCGTCTGCCGACAGCGTCACCAAACGCGAGTGTCCTCGATCCCATACTAGCCAGCACCAATGTGCGCATTACCTGGCGCTGCCCCCCCCCCCCCCCACACACACACGCACGCACGCACGCACGCACGCGCGCACACACGCACGCGTGCGCGAACACACACGCACGCACACTCACACTTCTCCATAGCAGATGAATGCACAGGTGCTTGGTTTCATTGGTCTCCCTGCACACTTACACCTTTCATCCTAGGTGACGGACATGTACGTGCAAAAGTATGGCAAGCGCGACGCCGTGCATACGACCGTCAAAGGTGTGCGCAATCTGGTCCACGCCGTGATGGACGGTCGGCAGCCGCACGGCGACGCCTACGCACGAGTCTCGCAGAGCATTCCTGGCTCCGCGCCCGTCGTGCCGCACATCGTGCACGCGGCGAGGCCCGGAGGCGGCAACTTGCGTCGTGCGCTTGGCATCCCATCCAACGCGACAGTATTCGCGCGACACGGTGGGCAAGGGCAGTTCAACTTGTGGTTCGCGCGCGAAGCCGTCCTGGAAGTCGCCGGCGTGCGGCCGGATATCTTCTTTCTGTTCCTCACGACGCAAGACTTTTGTGGGCGGCGCGGCTGCCCACCGAACGTGATTCACCTGCCGAGCTCGACAGATCGGTTCGACTTGATCCGCACGAGCGATGCAATGATCCACGGCCGCTGGGAGGGCGAGACCTTTGGCCTCGCTGTCGCCGAGTTCGCCACGCACAATCGGCCCGTCATAACCTCCAACAGGTCCTTTCCACACTTCACCCTTGGTCGCGCCCACCTGGACATCTTGGGCGCCCGTGGCATCTACTACTACGACAGAGCGACCCTCGTCAGCATTCTGCTCGGCTTCAACCGGACGGAGGCTGCGCAACGCAACTGGCTCGCGTACACTGAATTCGAGCCACGGCCCGTAATGCAAAGGTTTTGGGAAGTCTTCCTCGCTTGAGAACTCGCACCGTGTAGTTGATGTCCTTCTCCTCGGCCTCATGTTGTCGACGTCGCCTCCGTCGCCAGCAGATACACGCATTCGCCGCCCACTCCATTTCTCGTATCCTCTCCTTTTCTTTCCTTCTGTCCCTCTTTCAGGCGTTCTGTTTCCGTGGCCACTCGTTCCTTCCTCTCCGCCTCAAGTCCCTTCCTCTTCCCTTCCCGTACTTTGATTATTGATGCCGCCGTCTGCTGCAGTGCCTTGAGTGAAGTCACCACCCGTGTGTCATACTCCCTCATGATGTCTTCTGGCGGGTCCTGGTCCATCACGCTCGGCTCGGGCAGTCTTCCAGCGAGCAGTTGCTCCATCGCCTCCCATTCCTCGTCGCTCTCCCTTCTCCCTTAGGCGGCTCCCGTGGTGTACCTGTGTTAGTGCCAGTGCGCGCCAGTCCCGTGCCTAGTGTCGTGCGAGGGAGTTTTGTTGTAAAATTCTTTTTGCCGCACAATGGGGCAAGGCTTGGGGCGACCCTTGCGAATGTCAAAAAGGCACAATCTCTCGCACAATTTCGACGAGTGCGCGCCAGTCCCGACTGAGTGTGCGCCAGTCCCCCCCCCGATTAGAGCATTGAGGGCCGAGAGGCAGACTATACGTACACTGGCGCGCACTGGCACTGGAAAAAAGGGATTTACTTTTTGGTTGATGTCACCGATAAGGTAACACCAGCAGCAGCAGCCCGCAAGGCGCGCGATACACACACACAGCCCACACTATCACTCTGCCTTGGCGTGTCGCTGCGCCTTTGTCCCACCCGCGGAGGACCCGGGAGGCTCCACCGCGAGGCTCGCCGCCGCACCCACGCCGATGAGAGCAAAGAGGGCCGAGAGGCAGACAGGCGCAGCGGGCCCGAGCCGTTCGTATGCTGGCCCGCCCAGCAGCGGCCCGACGACGCCAAGCGACTTCTCGACGGAGCCCAAGGCGCCTACGTGGACACCGCGAGCTGGGGCGGGAATACGGTGTCGGGTGTCCGGAGCAGGAGTACGCCGGCAGCAAGTCAGCAGCAACTGAGTGCAGCCGAGCACGTGGCCTCTCGAGTGCTGGTCGGGATACATGGGGTTGGTACGCCGCATCTACGGCGCGCCGAGGAGGAGGCCGCGCGAGCTAGGGGCGGCGGAGTTGGCCATGAGCGTCTTGAGCAGCGTGTGGGAGAGGCCCTGCCCCAGGTTGAGGAGCGGGTACGAGAGGAGGATCGCGGCGGTGGGGGAGCCTACGTCACGCATACACCAGAGTCAGGTCAGGTACACTTCTCCACACACGCGAGGTGGTGGGGCAAGGGCCGGGGCAAGCCCTCGCGACTCCACGCCCAAGAGTCAGGAGTCCCACGGCATTCAAAGTGCAGGGAGCGAGAGTGGGCTCTGAAGACGGCATCGTGCCGTGTTTCGGACCACTGGGAAAGGGCTATGAACACACAGCCGAATATGGCCGAGTGCGTGTGTGTCCTCTGTTTGTGCCAGTCAGAGGAGAAGGGTCTCCGCATCTAGGGCGGGAGGTATGGGGAGATATGGGGAGATACCCGGGAGATGTGGGTCCGTCTCCCGCAGCTAGGCAGGAGAGCCGAGGGACGCGGCCGCCAGCCCAAGCCGGCCGGCGGCGGTGGCGGCCAGCGCGAAGCAGAGCAGGCTGGACGGGCGCGCGCCTACATGGCCTCGCCTTGCCCTCCGCGAGGGTTGCCCCCGCACTCCTGCTCCGGCTAAGGGAAAAAGCTTGAGGAATTCACCGTAGAGCGTCCAGAGGGGGTGGAAGTGCGCCGTCATCCAATACCCATCTAGAATGTCTTCCCGACGCAGCCCGCTTAGATCCTCGACTTGGCCCAGCTGCTCGCACAAACCATCGAGATGCTTCGGGGTTGTGTCACACAAGCCTCCCAAGCCCCGCGTGGGCAGAGAGCGCGCAGATCGCTGGATGGGAGGGGGCCTGCTACTCCGCTAGTCTCCGCGGCGCGCGCCTATCAGTTGACGCCCCGTCACTTAAAGGCTGCGGGCGGGACAGCGCGGTCCTGCGTGCTGCGCGCGCCAGTGGCCACGAGACGCGGCACGACGAAGCACGTCTGCAGCGCGAACATCCACCCCGCGTACGAGAGCAGGTAGCCGCGCTGGCCTGCGCGGTAGCCAAGCGCCTAAAAGTCGGCAGCCTTCCCTCCGATGTCGGGCCCCGTAGCCACCCCCAGTGACTGGCGACAGGGGACGTGACTTCACTACCCACACGGGGGCTCGGGGGACGGGCGAGCTCGCGCGGGACGTGTCTAGGAGATTGGGGGAGATCGGGGGAGATCGGGGGAGATCGGGCGAGATCGGGCGAGCTCGTCGTCGAGCTCGCGCGGTACGTGTCTAGGAGATTGGGGGAGATCGGGGGGAGATCGGGGAGATAGGGAAGATAGCCGAGCGCCTCGCCGACGTACAATGCGCTGGTGGAGTCGTACGAGTGGAAGGAGGCGGCGGCGAGGCCTATGCAACAAGAACGGCGAGGTCTTGCAATCTCGATGACTCTCGGCGACTCTCGCCGACTCTCAAGGTGGCGGCGACGCCTTGCAGCAGCAGCAGCGCGCGCGTGGACGGGCTCGAGAAGGCCAACCGCAGAGCCGCGAGGCTTCCGCCGCCGCCGCCCCCACCCCTGCTTCCGCCGCAGCCGCCGCTGCCCGCGCCGGCGGCAGCGGCGCCCCCGCCCCCACCGCTGCTGCCGATGTGCGCACCAAAGGTATCGGCTCCGCCCTTGCCACTGTGACTGCTGCCGGCGGCGGCGGCGGCGGCGGCGGAGGCGCCGGGCGGGCGGTATGGTAGCCGACACGCGCAAGCCACCTGCGGACTGGGGCAGAGCCTGATCAGGAGGAGATTGAGGGAGGTTTGTGTGTGTGTGTGTGTGCGTGTGTGTGTGTGTGTGTGTGTGTGTGTGTGTGTGTGTGTGTGTGTGTGTGTGTGTGTGCGAGAGCCGGCCACCTTGCTGGCGTGCCGGCCGAGCCGCCTCAGCGTGCAGTCTCGCAGCAGGAGGCGCGTCGCCAGCAGCGTCGCCAGCGCTCCGGCGGCGGCCGATACGATGTACAGCGCCGTCCCCCAAACGGCCCCGTGCAGCGCGCCGGCAGCGAGATTGAGGGCTGAGGATGGAGGGAAGCCGGTGGCTGCGCTGATTAGATTAGCCACGCAGAAGAGGAACGGGTCCTCCGCAGCCTCCTCCCAGGCCTCGCCCTCGCCCTCGCCCTCGCCCTCGCCCTCGCCCTTGCCCTTGCCCTCCTCCGCCTCTAGCCCCGCCAGCTGGCGAGCAGCGTTTGCCAGCCGCGCTAGTCGCCGGCGTGGTGAGCCGAAGGTCAACTTGGGCCGCTCGGCGGGCAGATTCACAGCGGTGACCGGCATTGGTGTCAGGCAGCCCGGGCCATAAAAGGCCGACACAGTGAGCGTGCGGTTTGGGTGGCACTTGTCGTTGTAGCTGTGGTTGTACATCTTGAAGACAAAGCATCCCGACGCCGTGTGCCGCACAGAGGGCGTATGCTTATTGGGCCGCTTGCAGTTGGTATCGTCGAAATGCTCCACGACCCAGTCGTACGTGTCGTCTGGCTTCAGCTCACAGTGCACGCGTTCCGACGGCCAGTCGCCGGTGTCGATTTGCATGCACTCGTAGTCGTTGACGGTGAAGGCGCTGGCGTTGAGCTGCAGCTTGCGACCCGCGCGCGGCCACACCCGCGGCGGCTGGGCGAGCGGCGAGGCGGAAGCTGCGGCGAGCATGTGTCCAGTCCCGATGCCTCGAGAGCGGAGAGCATCGAGCCCAAAAAGAATTTACCTGGCCGCGCGCGGAAAATCCCTGTGTGGTGGCGGCATGGCGTCCTCCCATCCCTCCCTTGGGTTGTGTGAGTCTGTCTTCTTTCTTGATTCTGAAATAGAAAAGCATCAACGCACGTCTCGGAATCGTTGAACAACCATGCTCCATGGCGGTGACATATACTGATAGGCCAGGGCAGCGGGGAGAGGCAGCAGGCGGCCAGCGCAGCAGCCCGAGTTTGTGCTCCAAGCACAACCCAGCGGCGAATTCCCGTTGACGCTACTCCCCCTCCCTGCTCGGGATCAGGCCCACAGCCTGCTCGCGCGCGGCGGCGCCCGAGGGAGGGAGCCGACCTCGCGCACAAAGCGCCGCGCGTGGTCCGCTCGCATCCCGACCTCCGCCGCCGCCTCGGCGAGCTCGCCGCCGTCGAGAGAGAGGAGAAATTCGTCGTCGTCGTAGCCCGCGGCGTCAAAGGCGGCCGCGTAGTCGAGCAGGCCGAGGCCTTCGAGCAGCGGTCGCACCTTGGCCATCCCGCCCCAGGCGTTTCGCGTCGGAGCCTCCGCCTCTGGCGCGGCCCGGCTGTCCGACTCGGGCAGAGCCTCGTCCTTTGGGGGAGCGCCCTGGGTAGCGCTCGAGGAAGGGCCGCCGCCGACCGACCCAGCCCCCGTGCTCGAGCGTGCGTAGTAGAGGGCTGCCTCGACAGCGGTGGCAAAGTAGCTCGATGTAGACCTCAGCTTGACTATGTACGGCTTGCCTGTGCCGGGTAGGTCGTTCCTCTTGTGCACTCCGCGGTAGCCCGTGTTGGAGGTGCTGCTGAGGTGGAGGCGGACACCCTCCATCTGAACGGGGGAGGGGGGGGGGGGGGGAGTGAGGGCGTCGCTGCCTCGTCCACCCGCCGGCGCCGCGGCACACACCTCGTCGAGAAGCGGCGCGGCGCCGCCGCTGTCGGCCACGTCGTCCACCTCGCCCCCCTCCTCCACCCGCCGCTGCTTCCGCCGCGGCGCCTCCGGGGGCGCGTCGCGTCGTTTCTGCCTCGTCGCAGCAGACGAGGTCGCCGCAGCCGACAAGGTCGCCGCGCCCTGCCCTCCGCCGCCGCTGCCCTCGATCTCCCAGACCTCATCCTCCAAACGGTGGTAGCGGACGTCGCCGTCGTCGTACGCGACGCAGTGCCCTCTCGCGGAGGAGTGGCCCTTGAACCTCCCGGCGTACCACTCGCCCCCCTCCCACAGCACCCGCACGCGCGTGCCCGTGGCGAGCTGCTCCAGCGCGCGCGGCACCTCATCGACGTGGCCCGCGGCCGCCGCCGCCTCCTTTGACGGCGGCGGCGGCGGCTCTTCGCGCTGGCGCTTGCGGGCAGCGGGCGGTGGCACGGCGCCCCCGCCCACACGTTCGCGCGCGGCGCCGCCCTCGCCCTCTGCCGGCGCAGGCACGCTGCGCGTCGCGTCCGCCATGGCGCGCTTCTGCGGGTTGGCGTCGGCGGTGCCCCAGGTGCGTGCGGCCTCCTTGAACGCCTCCTTGTGCGAGATCTCCGAGTCGGACGCCTTGAGCCTCGCCACCTCGTCCTTCATGAAGAGCTGGTACGCGCTCAGCGGCCGCGGCCGCGGCGCCAGCGCGGGCGGTGCCTCGACCTTGCGAGCCCGCCTGCCTGGCTGCACGATCTGGTGCGGACCGGCGTGCCCCGCGGGCAGCAGGCACCCAAAGGCGCCGCCCGCGCGCTCGAGGGTGTTGCCGCAGCGCTGCTGCTCGCTCACGGCCCTGCAAACGGCCTCGCACGCCCCGTCCTCCTCGTCCGCCTTCGTGGCCGCGGCCGCCCCGCCGCGCGCGCGCCGCTCCCTCGCCGACGTGCGCCGTCCGACTCGCGGCTTCCGCCGCTGCTCATGAGGTGGAACGGCGTCCTCCGCCCCGACGCTCACGCAAGCCGCCGCCTCCGCTCCCTCCCCTTCTTCGCTCGCCTGCCCCTCCTCCACCTCATCCTCGCTCGCGACCTCCTCGGGATCCTCGCACCGGCGGGCCGCCGGATTTGGGTGCATCCAGCAGTACCAGACTGGAGGGAGCGAAGCGGGCCGGCCGGCTCGCCCCTCGCTCGGTAGTCGCCGCCACTTGTCGCAGCGATCGCAGGCGACCCAAAAGCTCGAGCGCGGGCGGGATCGCGCTGCCGGGCGCGACGCAAGTTTGTGCGCCGCAGGCGCCGCCGCAGGCGCCGCCGTTGGCACCACTGTGGGCGCCGCCGCAGGCGCCGCCGTCGGCGCCACTGTGGGCGCCGCCGCAGGCGCCGCCGTCGGCGCCACCGTGAGCCTGCCCATACGCTCCAGAACCACCGCCACCCTCGCCACCTCCACTGTCGGCGACGCCACAGACGGGGCTGCCGAAGGCGCCGCGGCTGCCGCCGGTGCCGCTGGCGCAGCCCTCTCCGCCGCGGACGACACCGGGGGCATCGGTGCCGGCCTCGCTTCGAGCCCGCTGCGAGAGGAGCCCATGCCGAACAGAGAGCCGCGAGGCGGGAACGTCCACTTCCGTGTCTTTGGCGGCGTGCGAGGCAGCTCCGCGTTGCGTGCCGCCGCCACGAGCGCAGAGAGGGCGAACGGCGAGCCCGCGCACGGCTCAACCCCAGTCTCAGAACCCACGTCCACGCTCAACCCGCGGGCCGCCGCCGCCGCCGCCAGCGCCGAAAGCCCCGCCCGGGCGTCGTGCCCCTCTGTCGGATTGCAGTCAAACCGGCCGAATGATTCGGCGGTCAAGGGCGTGAGTAGCGAAACGGCGGGAGCGACGAATGGCGACTTTGACGGCCCGTGCGATGCGGCCTGCTCAGAGAGGAGCGCCATGCCGCCGCACGCGCGGGAAATCAAAGAGAAAAAATATCTGGCCGAGGACGATAGAGAGGCCGCGAGGGGCCAAAATATGCCGCGAGGAGGGCAGAGTTGCGCCGAAAGGCGGGAGAAGCCGCGAGAGCAAGGGATCGGCAGGCGGCGGCGGCGTCGCAGGACGAGGCAGAGGAGAGCGACGCGACAGAGGAGAAAGCGACAGGAATGAGGGAGAACGACGAGAGTGGGACGACCGCGAGGTGGCATGAAGGTTGCAGCGAGAATCGGCGAGGGACTGCGAAGGGAGATAGAAAGAGGCAGACGACCAAGGGTTAGGGTGGGCGACGGCTAGCACCACACTCCTCTCCTTAAAATCCCTGTGTGGTGGCGGCGTGCCGTCCTCCCATCCCTCCCTTGGGTTGTCTGTCTTCTTTCTTTTCTTTCTAGAGAGGCCGCGGGTGCGGGCGCGACTCGTCGACCAGGGAGAGCGGGCTCGACCTCCCGGGGGTGGAAGTGGGTGCGACCCAATGCCACCGTCCTCGCCCAGGGAGTCGGGAGCGGGGTCGCCGGAGGCGGAGTCAGCGGGATCGGGCAGAGAGGACGAAACGGCGGCGGGGCTGCGGCCAAAGAAGGCTAGGAGGGGAGGTCGGGCCCCACAGTCGTCGCGTAACCATCGGAAGGCGAACAGGAGGGAGGACCGAGGGGAGGGAGGGCCCCCCTCGGGGTGGGGGTGAGGAGACCGTGCGCGGAGCGGAGGGTTCCGAGCGGTGATGTCAGTGAGGAATGTGTGTGTTGTCGTGCTAGTGTCTGGTGTCTACTAGCCCCGAGTAGGGGGGGCGTTCCGCTGCTAGGGGAAACTCGGAGCGCAGAGCTAACCCTCGGGGAGCCGTGTTTACTTTATACGGCCCTTTCCCTGCGAACGCGCACCCCCCTAGGGGTCAGGGCTCTCTAGCCCGTAGCCCGATGCCGATCATCCGGCCTGCTGGGTGCGCTTCTTAGCTCCCCGGCCCTGGATGTGAGGTTGATGACTGCACTCCAAGTGCTCCAAGTGAGGTGATCTGGTGATGGCGGAGGTTAATTAACGACCGCACTCCAAGTGCTCCAAGGGCGCGCCAGTCCCGTGCCCAGACTACCCCAGTGAGCAATGTCATGAAAAAAGAATTCGCCGGTTGCAAACGGGACGTACCACGACACAGGCGGTCCACACAGCGACGAGCAGCTGACGTCCTCTTTACGATCGCTGTACACAAGGTCACTGTACGGGTCTACACGGTATCACCGCCGCGCGGACCGCGCGCCAAACGCCAACTCTCGCGAGGACTCGAGCGCAACCCTTCCCTGTGCGGGGATTTGTAGAAGTTGGCCGTCATAGTCGTTGACGCGGCATCCTCTTGCGGCTCGTACTGGTTGCGTGCTTCCTACTCTGCAGCCACGGCCGCAGCGGTAGGGCCCGCCGTCTCATCGGCCTTGAACTTGAGCAGCGCCTCGGTGATTGGTTTCTCAGCCGGCCAGCCGTATTTGCCGAACAGGTCTCGTTGATCGACGCGGACGAGCTCACGGCCGCCGCTGGAGATGGTCACGCGGATCGGGCGTTTTCTAATCTGCACAGCGTCCACCTGCGCGTCCGGGAAGACAGCCTTCACGAAGCGGGTGGCAGCCTCCGCCTCTTGGAAGCCGCCGTCTCAGTTGCCCAGGGAGATGATGGAGAGGGGGACGACACTGCTCGATCTACCCTCTGGGGTCCCTCAGCAGCGTGCACCTCGATCCTGTACCGTGTTTGTTATGACCCCCCCCCCCCATGAACACACCAGTGAGGGAGGGCGAGACGATCGAGGGGTCCCGTACCATGCGGAACTGACCCTATCCAGTGCTCAAGTGCTCAAACGGACACACCAAACAAGGGGTGGGAGAAGGACAGGGTCCCCACCTGCGCGAGCAGGATCTTCACCACCGATAAGCGGCAGGTTTCCGTATGGATGGCATCATGGGTGGGATTGCGGAACGTCAGAATTCTTTTTCTGGTCTGCTTTGCGAGTTTGCTGCCATTGAGTAGCGCTGCTTGAAAATGGCCTCCTCCTCGACCACCGCCCTCGACGAGGGCATCCTCAAGCTCGTGTTTCTGCAAGAGGCGGCCACGGGCCGCAAGGCCGTCGTCCCGCTTGTCGAGGGCGTCGATTGGGAGGGCTTCCTTTGCAGAGTGCGTTCGCGGCTCGGTTTGCCCGAAGGGCACGCGGTACAGGTGCGATGTCTCTCACACCGCCTACCCTGGCCGCTGGCCGCGCGCACGGCACTAGACGAGCGTGCGCACACGCGCGATGCCGCCGAGCATAGTGCCGCCGAGCAAAGCGCTCTTTGCTCGCCCTATGCCCGCGCCTATCCGCACCTCCGCCCTCCTCCACGCCACAGTTGCACGACCCAGGGCACGAGGCGGTCGACTCGATCGACACACTGCTCGAGATCGACGAGTCGACCACGCTGCGGATATCATTCCTCGCCGCCGCCGCCGCGCAGATGCCCGCCGCATCCTCCGCCGCAGCGACCCCCGCGACGCGCCGAGCCGCGCGCACGAGCGTGATTCCCGGCGACGCGGGCGGCGGCATTACCGACGCTTGCCGCGTCGAGATGCCCTCCAGTCCGGGCGGGATCGCCTGCGGCGCAAACGCCTCTGCCCCGCGCCTCCTCCCACAGCCCGCGGCTGCGAGCACAGGCGTGCTCGGGCCTTACGAGGACGGGGACGGCGAGCTCAAGTACAAGAAGCGGCGCATCACCGCGCGCAGACTCGCCTCGCTTAAGGCGCGCGGCAGAGCGGGCGCCACACAGCCACGCCGACCGACCACAGCACACACGCCGGACACACGCCGCCGCCCACCATGTCCCCTCGCCCACCGACGACCACACGCCGCCGAGCCGCGGGCAGCCCTCGCCACGCCGCTTCGCTGCCCGGGCAGCGCCCTCCCCACGCGAGAGGCGCCGCTGATGCGCCGCTACGAACTGCAGATGTGGTTTGGGGCGCTGCTCCTCGTCGGCGTCGTCGGCAGCCCTCTCGCGCTCTCTCTCGAGCTGCCGCTCCCCAACTCCGCGCCCCATAGCATCTCGGCTTTGCGCCGTAGGTCTCGCAATGCTGCGCATCGTCGTTGCGGGCTGAACTCGCGCGCTGCTGGCGCCCGACGGTGATGAGAGGGGGAGAAGGCAGGCGTCATTTGAGGGTGCGAGGCCCTGAGGGTGAGGCCCCTGTGAGGACACCGCTTGGCTTTGCGTGTTCGACGCACGCGCGCTATTCTGCGTCGGTGTGAGAGCGCACTTGGAGGGGTTTGAGCGAACAGTTTTGGAGTGTGAGTCAGGTGGCGTTTATTTTTGCTTGGGGCGGCCCTCATGACGGGGTAGGTAGGGTAGGTCTGGGCCCTCCCGTCGGGTTTTTCCCTCTCTTCACGCCGGAATTTTCACAGCAGAAAAAGAAATTTCCGCCCAAATCACGATGTCAACCCTCCCCAAGTCGTTGATCTGGTGCTTGTAGGGCTTGAGAGTGGCCTGCCATGTCACAAGAAGGACTGTGGTTGCAGGAGAGTACCACCAACCATCACTCTAGTTGGTATAGTACCCCACCTTCACCCATCGAGTGTTTTCTTTTTTAGTTTCCCATAAGTAAGGTAGGTAGGTAGGTAGGTAGGTAGGGGCACCGCAGGGACCGGTCAGGTTTTCCTGAATTTCATCATGAGGGCCGCCCCAAGCAAAAATAAACGCCACCTGTGTGAGTGGGAAAATCGGGGGCGGCTCAGTCGTCTCCGCACAGTCACTGGACACTGCTGTGCGTGTGTGTGTCTCCGTGACTGTTGTGTGTGTGTGAGAGTGTGTGACGCTGACGGAGAGAGAGCGAGGAGACACAGAGTCAGAGACTCACATTCAGAGGACAGAGCGAGAGCGAGACTCACCTGAGGCTGAGCGAGCCAACACGCGTCCGCCGGACCGCCGCGCGCCGGCGTCCTCTCCCGAGTGTCGGGCCGACATGCACAGTTTCGGGGGCGGCAAACCCTGCCCGGTCCCTAGGACCCCAGGTAAGGCCCAGGTGTGGCCTAGGCGCTAGGGCATCAGAAGGGACCAAGAGGAGTCCAGTCTGAGCCATAGAGCCCATGTCTTTGCCCCCGAAGGTCGCGTTCGAATGCCTGGAACGGACGTTACAGTGTGGTGTCCGGCCGGCGCGATCACCGAGCTGTGACGCTCAGGGAAGCCCGATCAGGTGGTGGTTTCTTTTTGCCCAGGCGAGGGCTGGCCTACGACCCATTTACTGGATCAGCTGAGCAAGGTTTGGGGAGAATCATATATTAGGAATAGGATCTTCAGATATTTTGACGGATGACCGAAATCACCCCAAGCCTATATGCACCCATGTTTGCTGCCTATATGCATTGGCAGGGTTAGACGTCGCGCGAATGCAAGTCCATGCGTGTGGTGGTGGTGGTAGAGTATCGCCTGAGTGTGACGAGGCTACCTTTGGCGAACTTGTACGATAACCAATCGAAATGGTCGTCACGACCAACAATAGCATAGGGGGGAAAGCCAAACCCTGGGCGCTGGCCTGAGGCCTGGTTAGGACCTCGGGCGAGCGCACCCAACCCCACAACAGAGACAACCCACACAACACACAGTGGGTGGGCAAGAAACCATCACAGGGCGGGCGGGTGGGGAAACGCGCAGCGAGGGAGACTCTCTCCCTCAGACAGCTGGACTGCGCCTTGGCCCCGAGGACGCGCGTAGACTTTGCGCGTGTCAAGGAGCTTGGAATTAAAGCAAGCGGCGACTTGATCCTACCCACGGAACGTCGCCGCAAAGCATTTTATAATCCTGCGTTCGCATTTGGGCGGCCATCGCAACACTCCCTAGCTCAACTGTCGACCCTAACGGGTCGCCAGCCGATCGGCATATCGCACTTGAGCACTTGAGCACTGGATAGGGTCGATTCCGCATATGGTACGGGACCCGCCTATCGCCTTTATCTCTCAGGGCAGCAAACTTCAAACACAGCGTGCATCAGCGCTGCTGATGTCGCATTGGCGCTATGTGCTACGCATTACGTACCCGTATTATGCGAGACAAGGGAAGGAGAAGGATTTTGCGGAGATCAGCAAGGATGTACGAAGAGATTAGTAGCAGCAGGGACCCAAGGGACAACGTGGACGACGGCAAGTGCTAGTCCCCCATCGGGAGGACGACCCCGGCTAGGACGCGCCAGACGTGAAGGACATGCCGACGGCGCTTCGGGACGCAGGCTATACGACCATCTCCAATGGCAAGATCTACCACAGCAGTGCCGACAATGTGCACTCCTGGGACGAGGTGTGTGGCCATGACGGAGGCTCCATAGCGGGATATGCCTGCGACTACAGGACTCGACCGGGGTCGATGTGCTGCGTCTGGCCTCATGGCATGTCTTCCGGGAGGTCATCTACGCAGAACCTATCCTCTGCGAAGGGGCACACGAAGTGCCCAGACGACGCCACCTGCCAGGAGCACGATTGGGAGAACGAGCTGGACTTTAGTCGGACGGAGAAGTTCGTCAAGTGGATGGAGGCAATCGAGCAGGCGAAGCTCGCCAAGGAGCCGGACGCCTCGAGCAAGTGCTTTGGTTGCGGTTGGCCCGCCTGGTCGGGGGTCGATGCGGATGATCACGGCTTTTTCACGCGAGGGCTGCCTGACGGCAAGATGACGCGTAAGGTCATCGAAGACCTGCGGACAGCAAAAGCAAAAGGGACGCCCCACTTCATCACCTGTGGCTTTGTCCGGCCGCACCTGCCCTTCGCTGCGCCCTACTCGTACTGGGGGATGTACAATCGGGACGACCTCCCAATCGCGACCAATCCATGGAATGCGGAGGGCGCGACGGCACGGGCGCTGCACTACCGGGAGTTGGGTGTGTACAACCTTGGGACGGTCCCCGTCTCGGAAGTCTCCACAGGAGAAAGGATGCCGGAGTACAAACCGGCCCCACAAGGCCCCGACGGCCCGGCCTTGTACAGCTCCGAGTGGAACGGGGCAGCAGAGCCTCCGAAGCCCAACCTCGCCCGCGACGTGGTCTCCCGCTCGCTGGTACACGGCTACTACGCCGCCACCTCGTACGTGGACGGGCTCGTCGGCCTCGTGTTGGACGAGCTCAAGGCGCTCGACATGTACAGTGAGACGGTAATACTCTTCAACAGCGACCACGGCTACCACCTGGGCGAGCATGGCACCTTTTGCAAGCACTCGCTCTACGAGCTCGCCCTCCGCGTCCCACTCATCGTCAAGGCGCCCGGCTTTAGCGCGTCGCGCGTGCCCGCGCTCGTCGAGAACCTCGACATCTTCCCCACGCTGCTCGACCTCGCCGGAATCCCAGCCCTGCCGCACTTGCAGGGAAAGAGCCTCGTGCCGCTTCTGCGATCGCCCGACGCCTTCCACAAGGAGGCGGTATATGCTCGCTACCGCGACGGCGACACGGTGCGCTTCCGCAGCTCCGCGCTAAGCGAGTACTGCCAGGGCAACTGCTGGAGCGCAGACAGTTGCACCAAATCTTGCGCCCGACAAAGGGAGCAGGACAGCATGTTTTACGACCACGCTGTCGACCCCGACGAGAACCTCAACAGGTTTAGCACGACTGGGAGCTATGCAGCGCTCATCTCAAACATGTCAGCGGCCCTCGCCCGACATCGGGCTACGAGGATGCTAAACGAATAGCTGCCTGCTTTCCGCCTTGTTCCCAGATCCGGCCGGGATGGCCCTTGGCCGGGGGCGCGGGGTGGACTCATCTCGGAAGCGCGGGGTGCGGGGAGGGCTGGTGGCCGCTCTCTCGCGCCCGCTCAGCGCTCTCTCCCCCCCGGCCCCCGCGCGCCGGCCGCGCCGCCCATAGCCATACCCCGACATACGTACTCCCACCGCGGGACAGTCGGCGTTCGGAGGACTCTAATCTCTATTGTACAACATCGCCATAACGCGGCTTTACGGTTAGGGAGCGCCTGAGCGCCGCCGTGGGTGACACCAACTTGCGACTGTCCGGCTATGTACTGACGTACTGGTACTCGCGTACCTCTGACGCATTGTAGTCGTCTGGCGAGACGGCCGTCAGGACTAACGTTCACGATGTGCTTCTACAGATGCAGCAAACTCTGCTGCTCGTCGTCGTCGTCGGCCGGCTGCCCCGCCCTCGCGCCCCCTTGCCGACACAGAGTGTAGAGCATCTCGCCCGTCGGCAGCGGCGCGGCCGCCGCGACGGCAAAGCCATGCTGGAGGAGCACTGTCAGTGCCTCGTGTACCTATGGCGGCTCGGCCCCGAGGGTTGACGACGCTCGAGCGCGGCGGTCGGGCAGGGCGCCAGGGCGCGCAACCGCGAGAGGAGGGTCGGCGCTGGCCAGCCGCTCTGGGAGCCCCTCGCCCTACATGGTGACGCCGCGTGGTCATTCGGGCGACGGCAGGCCCTCGCGGCGTCTCCTCCCCTCCTCCCTCGGCGCGCGCCTGCACCTCGGCGACCGCCCGCCCGCCGCCCGCCGTCCAAAGCATCGCCGCGAGAGCGTCGCCAGCCTCCGCTCGGCCGAGCGGGCCTCTCCCTCGCTGCCGCGGCAACGAGTGCGGCGGCGAGGCGCCCGCCGCCGCGGACGACGAGCCTCGCTCGGCGAGCCGCTTGGCCAGCCTCTCGGCGAGCCGCTCCGCCTTGGCCTTGCGCGCCGACTTGCGGAGCCAGAAGAAGAGCCAGTACGTGGTCACCATGACGATGATGAAGGAGAGGACCGCCTCCCAGAGGAGGCGGTACTTGATGACGATGGCGCCGTCCAGGTCGGCCTGCGGGGGCGGTGGGGCGCTGCGGTGTGGGGCGTGCCCCGACGGCGAGGAGGCGCGGAGCGGCTGCTCTCCGCGCCTCTGCGGCAGACGAGTAGCCCACGCCGTCCTGCCAGTTGTCGCCGTGCACAAGGAGCACAAAGCCGGCGCCGAGGTCGAGCCGCCAGCAGCACGTGGTGAGGCCGGGGAGCGAGTTGAAGAGGGGCGCCACGGCGTCGGCCGAGAGCGACTTGATGAGCTCCCAGAACGCCTCTCCAAAGATGACCGCCGCGGCGAGTTCGAGCGTGGCCTCCCTGGTGAGCATGTCGCGGACGCCGGCGCACGTTCGGCAGGCGCAGCAGAGCGTGGCGCGCGCTGTGGCGCGCGCTCTGGTGGAGCGCGTGGCGGCCTGGCGGACGTGCTGCAGCCGGCGGCCCAGCCGCGAGCTGCTCGGCTCGGCGATCGGCGGCGGCGACTCGGCCTTTGCCGACGCGGCCCCGACCGCGAGGCTCTGGTCGCTGCTCCTCGCCGCGGCCATGGGAGCGAGAGCCAAGGGACGGAGGCCTTGGCAGGCAAGGCGCCCGCCCAGCCAGCGGCCCGCGAAAAGAATTTTGTGCGCATCCCTCCCTTGGGTTGTCTGTTTTCTTTCTTCCTTTTTTTCCCAGTGCCGTTCTCCCATCCCTCCCTTGGGGTGTCTGTTTTCTTTCTTTCTTTTACATGTACCTCCCAGAAAGAAGCCGCGAGAGCAAGGGAGCGGCAGGCGGCGGCGGCGTCGCAGGACGAGGCAGAGGGAGGAGGGCGACGCGGCAGAGGAAGAAGCCGTGCAAGCCCCGCAGAGGTGCGGGCGAGAGGGCGGCCCGAGCCCGAAAGGGCCCGCCCTCGACCTTGAAACTATGGACCGGGACACGCTGTGGTTCAGACGAGAGTGGTTTGGTATTGCTAAAAATCTCTCTCTCAAGTACAAGCACAAGGGCGACCTTCTCCAGTCGTCAACGCGCCCGGCGGCTCCGGCAAGACTTCCCCGGCATGCTGCTTGCTGGAGGCGTATTGTGTCGTGCGAGGGAGTTTCGTTGTAAAATTCTTTTTGCAGAAGCAGCGTATCTCAGTCGTTCTTCACACGGCAATCGCAGAGCAGGTTGTGAATGAGCTTGCCTGTGGCGGGGGTGGGCGGGTGCACGGAGCTAAGTGCCTCGCCACTCTCGCAGGAGTCGCTTAGGCGGCTCCCGTGGTGTACCTGTGTTAGTGCCAGTGCGAGCCAGTCCCGTGCCCCGTAAAAGAAAGAAAACGGACAACCCAAGGGAGGGATGGGAGGCCCGTGCCCCGTGTTGTGCTTCGCATTGGAGTAAAATTCTTTTTCAAACAGAGCGCCCACAGCAGCGGCGCCGCAAAAGCAGCACAGCTCCCCTTCCTTCCTCGATGGCCGGCGCCGGCAGCCGCACGGACGACGACTACGACTACCTCTTCAAGGGTGCGCGCGGCGCCGCCGCGCCTCCCCGCGCCACGCCGCGCCGCGCTGCTGGCGCCGCTTCGTTTGGCAGGCCGCGCTGACCGCCGCGCCTGTGCCTGCCCTGCACAGTGGTCATCATCGGCGACTCGGGCGTGGGCAAGTCGAATCTGCTGAGTCGCTTCACCCGCAATGAATTCCACCTCGACTCCAAGTCGACGATCGGCGTAGAGTTTGCGACGCGCTCAATCCAGCACGACGGGAAGATCATTAAAGCGCAGATCTGGGACACCGCCGGTCAGGAGCGCTACCGCGCCATCACGTCGGCGTACTACCGCGGCGCGGTGGGCGCGCTGCTCGTCTATGACATCTCGAAGCGGCTCACCTTTGAGAACGTCGAGCGCTGGCTGAAGGAGTTGCGGTGCGCTGCGCCCGCCGCAGACACCCAGCGCGCGCGGCGCGCGCGCTGTCTCTCTCTCGCTGCGCCGCGCGCGCGCGCGCGCGCGCACCGCTGACCGCCAGGAGGCCGGCGTGCCTGTGCCGCGCGCACAGTCACGACGCCGCCGCACAGCCCCGTGCCGCAGGGCCGGGGCTGCCGCCCCCTGGCCCTCTGTGCGCTGGGCTCGCCGCCGACGCGTCCGCTGCCCCGCGCAGGACGCACGCAGACCCGTCGATTGTGGTGATGCTGGTGGGGAACAAGTGCGACCTCAAGCATTTGCAGGCGTGCGCGACGGAGGACGCAAAGGCCTTTGCGGAGCAGAACAACCTCGCCTTCATCGAGACGTCGGCGCTCGACGCGACCAACGTCGACCTCGCGTTCGAGACGATCCTGATCGAGATCTACCGCATCGTGACGAGGAAGACGCTCGAGGCGGGCGGCGGCGCGGTCGCGTCGGCCGGCGGGGAGAAGATCGTACTCGGCAACGCTGCAGCCCCGCCCGCCAAAAAGGGGTGCTGCTGACCGCTGCCGGCGTTCCGGGGGAGAGCGCGCAACGGGCGCCGGTGGCGCGGCGCCGGGCAAAAGTGGGCAGGCGCCCAGCCGCACAGCGCCTGGCGGCCGCCGCCCGGCCACTAGCATGCGATTGTGCGTCAGTGAGAAACTGTGTTCTTTTACGTGTGTGCGCCCCCCGCCGCGCGGGGCAGCGCCCAGTCCGCAGTCGAGAGAGGGGGAGCGCGCGCCGCGCGCGGGTCGCCGGGTGCGCGCGTCACCGTCAGCCGTCACCCCCGGGAAATCGTCCTTTGGCGTGTGCCCGATCTTACGTCTCGGAGTCGCTATCTGAACTCGAAAAGGAACATACGACCTCTCCCTCGCGCGCCCCCCCTGCAGCTCCAGCTGCACTCCACTCGTGGCACTGCGACCGCCCCGGGCCGGCGGGCCCCGCGGCCTATAATAGCCGCTGCCGGCGCGCAACATCCACGCTCCACGGACCACGCTCCCCACGCCCGGGTCGCTCTACTGACTACTGCGGTTGCATACACTCTCTCTGGGCTCTCTCTCGCCCGCGCGCTCGAGCCAAGATAAAATGTCTGAGGAGACTCATGCCACAGTTTAGCGTGGTCCACCCGCGCGCCAGCTGATGTTGCCGATGCCCGTGAAGGCCGACTTGAGCGCCTTTGGGTCCGCCCACGACGAGTGGAGGTACGCGTCCTCGTCCTCGGCGGCGAGCCGCTCCGCCTCTTGCTGCTTCTTGTGGTAAAACGCGATCATCGCCTGCTGCTCCGCCTCCGAGACGGCGGGCTCGCGCTGCGGCGCGCCCGCCCCCTTCTTCTGCAGCTTGGCCACCACCTTCGTCTTCTCGTTCCGGCCGACGTAGTCGGAGAGCAGCTTCTCGCGTTGCATCTCCTTGCTGCAGCACCACAGGCAGGTGGCGTCGGCGTCGAGGTGCTGCAGCTGGGCGGCGCCCTCGAGCGCGTCGCGGTCCTCGAGGATCTGCCGCACCGGGTCGTAGTCGGGGAGCCCCATCGGCCACGCGATCATCACAGCTCCCTTGATGTTTTGCACCGCCTCCTCGAGCGCCGCTGCCGTCGCCGGCACCTATGGAGAAGCGGCGTGCGCGCGTCCCGACCAGCCGGCGGCCGTCTGCAGGGGTGTGCCCTCCGCCGCACCTTCATCGCCACCTGCCGCTCCGACAGCAGCGCCTGCGCGTCATCAACTGTTCGCGTCAGCACCTGCGCAATCTCTGGCGGCGGCGCGTTGCCCGTCCGCCGCTCCGTCGGGTCTGGACAGTAGTGCTCGTTGCGCGCTGGTGGTGGACGCGGTGCGGTGGCGCCGCTGGCCACGTCGTAGTCCTCGAGCAACGGCGTCGAGTCGTCGAGGCCCTGCTGCTCTGGCGGCTTTGACGGCCCGTGCGCTGCGAGCGCCGAGGCGGCCTCAGCCAGCCGGAGCACCCGCTGACGGAGGTTGTGGATTGCGATGAGGTCGCGCAACACGACGTCGACCTCCGCGGAGCAGACCGTCTCGTAGAGGAAGGTGTCCTTCTCGCTGCGCTTGACTTGGAGCACGACCATGGCCGTGTGGCGTTGGGAGCGGCTGTTCAGGGTCAGTTTTTTTTCTGTGTGGCGCTCGTGCGCGCGCTGGGGGGGGCGACAGGGAGGATGTGGCCCTGAGTTATGTGTACGCCGACTCAGGGTGTGTGGCAGCCAGATAGCTGTGTGTCTTGTGAGCCTGTTTGTGTCTGTGTGTCGCTCGTGCGTGTCGTCATCATCTGTCCAGCGTCCACCCATACCGCGTTGGTGTCCAGTCCGAGCCTGGCTGTTCTTCACCTTTCTACCTACCTACCTGCGCGCGTCCACCGCGTTGGTGTCCAGTCCGAGCCTGGCTGTTCTTCACCTTCCTACCTGAGAGAGAGATTTTAGAAAACCATTTCTTTCCTACCTGTGATCTGTGAGGGTCCGCCCGCCTTCCTACCTAACCTAAGAGAGAAAGCGGATACGAAACAAGAACACAACGCGCTCTATCACATGACAAGCGATCCCACGCTATTGTGGGGACTACGTACGTGACAAAGATGTAAATTGAACTCGGGGGCACGGGACGCGGCACAAACGGGGCACAAACGCCAGCCAGGCTACAAAGACGGGGAGGCACGTAGTGACGCAGGGGAGTCTAGGCGACGGCGGCGTCCTCCGACGCCGCGGCGAGCCTGAGCTCGGTCGCAATCTCTTCCGCCGCCGCGAGCTGCAGCGCGACTGACATGCGCTGGGCCTGCAGCGACAGCCACGTGCCACGACCGCGTCGACCAGGTCGCCTCGTCCTCGTGCTGCCGCTTCGAGAGCTTGTTGCGCACCTTGTCCTTCATCTGGTAGAACAGCCGTTTGACCGCGTTGCACCACCCGCCGAAGGTTTCGAACAGGTACATCTGATCAAACAACAAGTTGTTGGTTAATAAAAATCTCTCTCTCTCTCTCTCTCCAAACAACAAGGGTGGAGACTGGAGAGAGAGAGAAGAGAGAGAGAGAGAGAGAGAGAGAGAGAGAGAGAGAGAGAGAGAGAGAGAGAGAGAGAGAGAGAGAGAGAGAGAGAGAGAGAGAGAGAGAGAGAGAGAGAGAGAGAGAGAGAGAGAGAGAGAGAGAGAGAGAGAGAGAGAGAGAGAGAGAGAGAGAGAGAGAGAGAGAGAGAGAGAGAGAGAGAGAGAGAGAGCAGGTCTTTCGCAGCATCTTCGCTTGGGATCCGCTCCCGCCATGCCTCTCTCCCCCGCCTCCCAGCTCGTGCGGCTCTCGACCCTCGGCGCCTGCGCCTTTGCCCGCGTGATCACGCCGTTGCGTCCCGGGCCGTTGATTCTGCGTGGCGGGCGGGCCGTCGCGTCGGCGGCGGACGCCGCAGATGTGAAGCTCCGCTCGTTCCGCAAGGCGATGGCCGATGCTGGCGTCGCAGCCTTTGTCGTGCCGTCGGGCGACGCCCACCTGTCCGAGTACACCCACCCCGCCTACGACCGCCGCGCCTTCCTCTCTGGCTTCACCGGCTCCGCTGGCACGGCGGTCGTCACCGCAGACGCGGCGTTGCTGTGGACGGACGGGCGGTACTTTCTGCAGGCCGAGCAGGAACTCTCGCCCGAGTGGACGCTCATGCGCGCGGGCCAGCCCGGCGTGCCCTCGCTCGAGTCGTGGCTCGCCTCCAACCTCCCGGACGCGTCCGCAGTCGGCATCGACGCGTCGGTTCACAGCGTTGACGAGGCCAACACGCTGCGATCCGCGCTCGACGCGGCGCAGAGCGGACTCCGGCTAGAGCCGCTCTCGCCTCCCAACCTCGTCGACTCCATCTGGACGGGCAGGCCGCCGCCTCCGCTCGGCAAGGCCCGGCTGCTGCCGCTCTCCGTGGCAGGCGCGTCGGCCGAGGAGAAGCTCGCCGCGGCAGGCGAGGACCTGGACAAGGCCAAGGCGGACGCGCTTGTGCTCGGCTCGCTGGACGAGGTGTGCTGGCTGCTCAACGTGCGCGGCGCGGACGTGCCGCACTGCCCCGTGCTGCAGGCCTTTGCACTCGTCCACGCGACACATCCGACCAGCGCCACGCTCTTCGTCGAGCGCTCGAAGTTGGACGATGAGGTGCCGAAGCCGCGCCCGACCCCCTCTCCCACGCGTGCGAGAGCCGCTTCGCCGCCGCCGTCTCAGGGACCCCCCACCCACCCCACCCCACCCCACCACCACCACCACCCCACCCGCTTCAGGTGAGTGGCGCGCTGGCGGCGGCGGGCGTGGCGATTGCGCCGTACGAAGAGGCCGAGCCGGCAGTGCGCCGGCTTGCGGACGAGGAGGGCAAGACGCTGCTGATCGACCCAAAGTCGGTCAACTACGGGCTGCGGCTGGCGGCGGGCGGGCGGGCGGCCCTCGCCACGTCGCCCCTCATCCTGCGCAAGGCGCGCAAGAATGCGGCCGAGCTGGCGGGCATGCTGGAGGCGCACCTCACCGACGCGGCTGCGCTCGCCCACTTCTTTGCCTGGTGCAGACCGCCTCTCCCCTCCCCCGCGCCAGCCCTCCAGACCGAGGGGCTCGCCCACCGCCGTGCCGATCGGTCCACACACACGCGCGCGCGCGCGCACACACGCACGCACACGCACGCATGCACGCACACACACACACGCACGCACACGCACGCACGCACGCACACGCACGCACGCACGCACACGCACACGCACACACACACGCACACACACACACACACGCCTCCCCGCCCTCGCCCACAGGCTCGAGCGCGTCGTGGTCGCCGAGGCGACGCCGCTCACCGAGGTCGAGATCGCGACCAAGCTCGCCTCCTTCCGCGCGGCGCAGCCCGGCTTTATCGACCTCTCCTTCCCCACGATCGCGGGCGCCGGCTCGAACGGGGCCATCATCCACTACGACTGCATGGTGGCGGACGCGGCGCGCGTCAACACGCTGGACGGCTCGCAGATGATGCTGCTCGACTCGGGCGGCCAGTACGCGACGGGGACCACCGACGTGACAAGAACTTTCCACCTGGGCACCCCCACCGACTGGCAGCGCGAGTGCTTCACGCGCGTGCTCAAGGGCAACATCGGCCTCGACACGCTCACCTTCCCCGAGGGGACGCCGGGGATGGCCATCGACGCCTTTGCGCGGCAGGCGCTCTGGCAGGCGGGGCTCGACTACCTGCACGGCACGGGGCACGGCGTGGGGGCGGCGCTGAACGTGCACGAGGGGCCGCACTCGATCTCGGCGCGGTGGGGCAACACGTGCGGCCTCGAGGAGGGGATGATCTGCTCCAACGAGCCGGGCTACTACGAGGCGGGCGCCTTTGGCATCCGGATCGAGAACCTGCTGGTGGCGCGCGCCGCACCGACGCCGAACGCCTTCAACGGCAAGGCGTACCTCCGCTTCGACCAGCTGACACACGTGCCCATCCAGGCGTCGCTCCTCGAGCCGTCCCTCCTCACCAGCGCAGAGGTGGAGTGGCTCGACGCGTACCACGCCCGCGTCTGGGAGCGTGTCTCGCCCCGCGTGGACGCCGACTCGGAGGGCGCCCGCTGGCTGCGCCGAGTCACGCGCCCGCTCGCCGAGCAAGGGGTGCGGGGCTTGCCGCCCTCTAGGACGGCCGCAGTGGCAGAGGCCGCCGCTGCGTTATAGAGGCGCCGCTGTGCTGAGAGTGAGCACGGTCGCAGTGTGCAATGCAATTTTGTGGCACAAGAGTCTGCAGCTAGGTCTGGTCTTCGGAGACGAGCGGTGAGCCATCATGCATCAAAACGATTGGGTGCACAGTTTTTGTCTTCACAGCCTTGTTATGAGAAGAAAATACGTCCTATGGCGCTATGCGCTGGTCTGTGAGAGGTTGAGGTGCGAGCCCTGGAGGCCCTGGTGTTTGTGGGAGACCTTCACAGCACTTGGAGGATGGAGCACTTGGAGTGCAGTCGGCAACCTCACATCCAGGGCCGGGGAGCTAAGAAGCGTACCCAGCGGGCCGGATGATTGGCATCGGGCTACGGGCTAGAGAGCCCTGACCCCTAGCTCACCGAGTCACACCTTTTAGGCACCGACAATGACAGGGCACGCCAAATTGAAGCCCACAGCCCACAGTCCACAATGAAGGTCTCTCTCTCGTTCTCGCTGCTCGTTCTCGTGCTCCTCACGCTCGCAACGCCGGCCAGCACGTTGCGCCTGGGAAACTCGCGCCGCGCCGCGCCTTTAGCACCTCGCGCTGCGCGCTCGCTCGTCATGAACGAGCCCGAGGCAGAACCCGAGTCGGTGGAAGAGCCAGCCGTTGCTGGACCCGGTGGCATGAGCGCCGCCGCAGCAGCGGCCAACCCAGAACTGGCTTCCAAGGCGATGGCGATGGCGGAGACCATCGCCGCACTGCAGGCGAAGCTGGACGGCTTTCCGCAGCAAGCGGGCACCATGTACTGTGCGGCCGCTTAGTCGCACCTCCGCCATGTCGCACCGAGCACCCGACGGCGTCCGCCCGCTCGCCCCCCGGCAGTCATTACGAAGGACGACCTCACCACCGCCGAGAAGCAGCTGGCGGGTATTGTCGCCACCGCACTGACCGCCGAGGAGCGCGAGGCGGCAGCGGCAGAGAAGAAGGCAGTGGTTGCTGCCAAAAAGGCTGAGGCCGACGCTGCTGCGGCCAAGCGCAAGGCGGATGCGGCGGCGGCGGCAGAGGCAAAGCTGGTCAAGGCGGAGGCGGCCAAGGCGGCCAAGGCGGAGGCGGAAGCGGCAAAAAAGGCCGCGGCGGACGAGAAGAAGGCCGAGGCCGCATCCGGCTCTCCCTGCGTCTGTCCGCGTTTGGCATGTCCTGATTCTTGCGTAGGCGACCAAGGCCGCGGCCGCGCCTCAGAAGGCGGCAAAGTTCGAGCTTCCCAACCCCTTTGGGAAGAAGTGAAGGTGTACTGCCCCTAGCCCGCCCCATGCACTCCGCTCCTCGCCTCACGTCTCACGAGACCGACTCCCATCCCCCCACCCTCGCTCCGTCACTCTAGACACGCTCCACGTCGGCATGCTGAAGAGCGCGGGCTTCTCGCAGTTCCAAAATGTTCGAGACCGGAACGGAACCCGCCTGAGAACACATGAGCTCCCGCGCCTCGGTCTACCATACGGCTCTCCTGGATGGAAGCCGGAAGGTGGCGGGGGGGGGGGGGGGGACGTTTGTGGAGGAATGTGGTACACGATCGTCTGGAGGCGCTTGAGTGATGCGCACGGTGACGCGCGTGAGATAAGGTACTAGTAAGGTAAGCCTTGAAGGGTGCTACGAATCTCTCCTCACGCTATTCAGCGGCACACCCTACTTCGACTACCACGTACCAGCACCGCTTTGCGACCGACGGCGACGCGCGGCTGATCCTGATGAACGTCGGCATCGGCTTTTCTTCCTCGTCATCCTGCACGCCGCGTACAACCTCGCTGCCTTTCTGACCAGGCGCGATATCGGCGGCTACTGGCCAGATATCGAGGCAGCAACTCAGGACGGCGCTGCTGCGCGCACAACGTCCTCAGCGCCGTGCTCACCGCGCGGTTGCTTCGCGCAGATGAACACGGCAATCGACGTGCGCGAGGCGGTCGAGGTCGATGCGTGCGACGCCTTCATCATGCCGTCGCGCTCGATGAGCATAGGCTCACGATCAAGTGCGGTGCCAGCTCGGCTTCATATCGACGGCCGCACCCGTCATGGAGCTGGACGTGGCGATGCCGGCGCGGCATGAGGTGGCGAGTGCCATGTCCTACTGGATGAAGTACCTCGCACAAACAAAGGGCATCACATACGCGAGCGTGCAGGCCGGCTACGAGAGCGAGCCAGCCTGCCCGCGCTGGGAGACGGCGTCGCAGAAACGTAGACCACCAAGTTTGCCGGTCCAAGAGAGTGGCACCGGCGCTGTCCTGAGAAGGTGCGTGGTCCCTCTTGACTGCCCATGCGCGCGAGGCTTTGTAGGCATAGCCTCGAGAGTGCCAGCAGCCAATCCGAGGTGACGCGCATTGCGCCAGAAGCGTGCACGCGCTGGAAGGACACCTTCCTACTGGCCGTACGATCAGGTCGTCACTGAATGCTTGATACTAAGGCCGCGAGCTATGCAGGTGATCAATTGTGCATTATGGCACGGTCAGCTGCGCCGACAGGCTGTCGCAAGGCGTGATAGCATGGCCGCCGAATTCCCATGAAAACAAGTAAAAAATCGCCAAAAAAGAAAAAAACGAAAAAATCGGCGCCTGCGGCGGGCCATGGGACCCCATCTCCCCCCCGCATGCACACCCTCTGGGGCCCCCGCGCCGGCCCAGAGCCCGCGTGTTCGTTCCGTCCCTTCGCGGTATCTTTCTCATCGATCGGTGCAGTATGGAGCAAGACGTAGACATCGCGGACCGCGGGCACCGCGCCACCGCGCCGTCGGGCGCCGCCCTCGGTCTCCGAGGGAGCTCAGCTACACCGTCTGGTCTTGCGCCTGGTAGCGGCGGCTGGTCTGGTCTTGCGCATGGTAGCGGCCTACGGTCCGATCCGGCCTCCTTTGGGTCGCCTCATCAGCGCAGTGCGCTCAACCACAGCTTTCTGCGCAGTACATCAGGTGGTGCTCCAGTGCGAGAGAGCGTGCCTGAAAATTCTTTTCGTCGTGAGTTCCCCCAATGTCGGTCGAGTGGGACGCTCGGCTGCAGGCCGTCGAGCTGCCAAAGAGCATGGTGAACGCGCTTGTCCTCGACTGGCTCGTCAACCAGGGCCACCACGACGCGGCGGCCGCGTTTGTGCGCGAGTCCGGGACGCCGGCGGGCGATCTGGACGGCATCGCGGAGCGGATGTCCATCCGGCAGGCGGTCGAGGCGGGGCGGATGCAGGCCGCGCTCGAGGCGCTCGAGGCGCTGCATCCAGCGCTCCTCTCGGTCGACCCTCCGAACGGCGGCTCCGACCTGCAGCTGCTCTTTGCGCTGCAGCAGCAGCACTTCATAGAGCTCGTCCGCGCGGGAGATGTCGCAGCGGCACTGACGCACGCGCAGCACAAGCTCGCGCCGCTCGCGGAGGCGCAGCCCGCCCTGGTCGAGCCGCTCGAGCTCACGATGATGCTGGCGCGCCGTGAGACGCCGAGATCCGCCCCGGCCGAGAGCTGCCGAGCAGAGAGAGCTGCGACACCGCGGCGGCAGCCACCGCCCAGAGACTGAGGCGCCTCTTGCTCCATGCAGCTTGCGTCGGCCGACGGGGCCGACTCGCCGAGCGCTCACCTGCTCCATCCATCGCAGCGGCGGCGCACGGCCACGGTGCGTTGCGGGGAGCGCCCGTCGGGTGAGCCTCGTGGCCGTGCGCGCCGCTGAGCCAGAGGAGTCGGGCACGTAGGCGCTCAACGCTGCGATTCTGCGCGTCGCGGGCGCACGCTGAGGCCGCGCGCGGCGACGGGTGGTCCTAAACGTGGGAGCGTGCTTGCAGGCGCGCGCAGTCCCGCGCAGAGGAGCCAATGCTGCCGGCGATGCTGCGAGAGCTGCAGCGAGCGCAGGCCGCCCGCCCGCCACTCACTAGCGGATCCGTGCACGCCCGCTTGCAGCCGCGCCCACTGCTCGGTCCGCGCCGTGCATGACACGCGCACGATGTCTCTGGCGTTCCAGGTCGAGCTGCGCGAGCGGCACGGCGTCTCGTTCCCACAGGTTGACGATTTGCGCGAGGCTGTGCCGCGGCTGCCCTCCACGAGCCGGGAAGCGGCCAGCCCAAGCCGTGGATGAGGTCGAGATGGGCACCGCTAAACTAGGCGCGTTGTGTGTGTGTCCGTTTTAGTGCTGTGATTTATGTTTGCCCAGAGCGTTGTGTGTGTTTGCGGTGTTGCGTCTCGTCAGTAGAGTGTAGAGAGAAATCAGGCGAGTGGCGAGTTGCGACGACCCCGCACCAGCACAACACACACCATTCAGACTCACCAGTCACCACTCTCGTGCCGGTCGACGACTCGTCGTGGGTGTGCAGAGCGTAGCACTAGTATAACTCATAATTAAAACAACCGAATCAGCGATGCCGGGGGGGGGGGGAGGGCCTCTCCCCACGGCCCACGCACCGCGGGTGTATGTCGGGGTGGTGGACGAGGCGCACGCACGCGCGGATGTGCGTGCTCACAGCTTGTAGCTCAATCCATCAGATCGTCGTCGCTGACTCCCGCATGCTCCTCTTCGCCTTGCTCAGTAGTTGCCCCCTGTGCTGGCGCCGCTCCCGCTGCGTCGCTCTCCGTCGCTCTCCAGTGCCGCTTGCGGCGATTCGTAAACCCTACGCAGGCAGCGCCGTTGACGTATTGCGGTGTGAGTCAGAGTAGGGGGTGCGACGCGCGTGCAGCCGGCGCGCAGTGCTCCACTTGCCGCAGCTCTAGGCCCGCAGCACGCGCAAGGGCCAGCTTCTCCTCGCCGTTGGGGTACGGGTCGAGCTCGTGTTTGCTGAACCACTGGGTGGGGAGGCGAGCACACAAGCCGCGGCTGAGAGGAGGTCGTGGGTATTTATGCTGCGCGGGGTGGAGGTTCGGTGGAGGTTGCTGCACGCGGTGCGTCGCACGCACCTCTATCAACACCGACTTTTGCTCGTAGCGGTGGTTCTGCCGGCGTGCCTTTTTGCGCTCTTTGGTTGCGGTGGCGTGGTCTTGCTCGGCCGTCGTCTCAACCCGCCGCGCGTCGTGGCTGCGCTGCAAGTCTTCCACGGTGGAGAGGAGGATGCGCTCGATGGACTGCAGCCGTGAGTGGTCCACCGTTGCGGCGCTACGCAGCATGCGCGACCTATGTGTCGGATATGTGGCCCCGTCTGTCGCACCTATCGCCTTGGTCTGCCTTCGTGCGTGTGTGGGTGGCGGGTGACGGGGGCTGGATCGAGGGACTGGGCTCTGAGCGGCGGGCGCGGGGACAGCCTCACTCCCCGCGCATCGCCGACGCCTGCTGCGCCCATTGCACCGCTCGCCGCTCGAGGTCGACCAGCATTTGCTCCGCCTGGGTTCGAGACAGCTCGGGCGAGGTGCCACCCCCAAGGGCGAGTGCGTGGTTCGAGCGGGAGAGGCCTGCGAGGGCCATCGCCGTCCCTTGCGCCTCCGCCTCGAGCGCGACGGAGAGGCTGGCCACACGCGGCGGCGGAGCTCGCGGGCTGTGCGCGTGCACGCCATTCACGATGACGCCGGGCACAGTCAAGACCGACCCCGGCGCCAGATCCATGGGTGGCCGGGCGACGGACGAGTCCGAGTGCTCCGCAATCCCTGCGCGGCGAGGAGGCCGGCGATCGCTCACTTGCAGCGGCCAGCGGGTGGTGCGGCAGGTGGTGGTGAGAGGTTGCGGGTGGTGCGGCGCACATCGCTGGACCTCGGCGACGGGAAGGCACGCGTTGGCAAAGGCCTGTCAGGTGCAGGTTTGGGGAGGCGTGAATGGGAGGAGCGGCGCGGGCAACGTCGGGTGGATTCGCCTGCTGGGTCGCCGGCACAGCTTGGTGCGGGACCGGCATCAGCGGCGACGCCGAGAGATCGAGGTGCATGCTGCGGCAGCTGTCGAGCAGCCGGCTCAGGGAGCCGGAGGAGAGCAGCCGGTGAATCTCTGCGCACGCCTCCGCGCTGTTGCCCGGATCCGATAGCATGTGAAGCCGAGAGCGCCCCGTCGCTGGCTGGTGTGGGGTGCAGCCCCGGGCTGTTTCATCGTTCGGGGCCGCGTGCGTGTGAGCCAATCAAACCCACAACCAAACTTCGGCGAAGGTGCGCGAGGGAGGAATAATTCGAAGGAAAATTTGTTTCTCTTTACTCGTTTATTGGCGACCCTAGGTACCGCCTCGAGGGTACCGCTGCAGTCCTGTGAACGAGATTGTTAGTGTTTTGTTGTTGCTGACTGAGTGTGAGAGAGTGAGTGAGAGAGAGAGAGAGAGAGAGATTTTTATTTAGCCATACGATTGGTGTTTTGTTGCTGCGAGAGGGTCAGCTTTCCCAAATTCTTGGTGTACCAGTGTTCGTGCCAGTGCGCGCAGAAAGAAAGAAAGAAAACAGCAAAACCAAGGGAGGATTGCCAGAAAGAAAGAAAGAAAGCCGCGCGGAGCCGAGTGGAGCCGAGCGGAGCCGAGTGGAGCCGAGCGGAGCCGAGTGGAGCCGAGCGAGCCGAGTGGAGCCGAGCGGAGCCGAGCGGAGCAGCCGAGTGGAGCCGAGCGGAGCCGAGTGGAGCGAGTCCGAGTGGAGCCGAGCGGAGCCGAGCGAGTGGAGCCGAACAGAGCTGCCACCGCGCCATCTGGCGCTTAAGACTTAGAAACGCAAGAAGAGAAACGCTAAGCGATCTCAGGGAGCAGCACCACACCACACCACACCACACCACACCACACCACACCACACCATTTGCCAACAACATACCTAAAACACATGCCTTGTAGGGAGGTAGGTAAAAAGAATTCTGCGCCAGGAGCAGCTCGCTCGGTGCTTCGTGCTTTGTGTGGTGCGGGTCCGCGGCCCTCCAGATGCAGGCGGGCGGCTCGCAGGCAGGCCCCTCCTCTCGAGAGGAGCCCGCGGGCCGGCCCTCGGGGAAGAAGGCAAGTGTCCCGATGGAGGAGGAGCTTAGGGGCCGGTCGTGGGCCACGCCGCCCGACAGAGTTTCGGGCAGGAAGCGCGACGGCGCGGAGCTCGCGCGCTGCTCGGGCTTCTGGAGCGCCGAGGGGGAGCGCGCAGAGGCGGCTGCGTCGGGCAGCGCCGCGGGCGAACGACCCTCCAAGTCTCCCCGTCGGGACGGGGAGACGGCGCTCGTGCACCCCCGCGCAGAGCTGGACGATCTGCAGAGGGGCCTCGTGCGGCAGTTCGTGAGCACCATCGACGCCAACGAGGAGTCGATCGTCATCACAAACCCGCGCGCCCAGGGTCCGCGTGCTGCCCCCTCCGCCCCCACCCGCCTTCGCGGGCCTCCTCTGAGTCGCTCTGCTGCCTCGCGCGCAGGCAACCCCATCGTCTGGGTCACCCGGCCGTGGCAGGACATGTGCGGCTTCACGTACGGCGAGGCGGTGGGCCGCAACCCGCGCCTCACGCAGGGAGCGAGATCCGACCCGGCCGTCGTGTCGGCCATCTCTGGCGCGCTCAAGCAGGCACACTCGACGCCAACCCGCGCCGCCTCTCGCCTCGCCGCCCCGCCTCGGCCCGCCGCCTCTGCTTAGACGCCCCTCCCCTCCCCCTTCAGGAGCGGCCGTGCAAGGTCGCAATGGTTAACTACCGCGGCGGCGAGGGCGGGCCAGCCTTTTGGAACATGCTCTCCATCTCGCCGCTGCTGCACCGCGGCCAGCTGCAGCTCTACATCGCCAACCTGCAGGACTATAGCTACCACATGGGTGAACCCCCGCCCCCCCCCCGCGCGGCCTTCTCCCTTTCCGCACGCGCGCATCCACACACCTCTCTTTCCCCCCCTGGCCCCTGCGCCCTGTGCCAGGCGCCCCACGCCCAAGCGCCCTCACCCCGCGGGTTCCCTGCACGCCGCACAGGCCAGATGGTGTCGCTCACACCGTCGCAGTTCTGCCGCGCGGCGCTGCACTACCGCCGCGGGCGCCGCCTCGATGCGCCCCTCACCTCGCTCTCGCTCGCCAAGCCCGCAATCTACGAGGCGGACGGCGAGCACCCCCTGCAGCCGGCGCCTGAGCCGCCACCGGCGCAGCCGATGATGCGGCGGCTCGGCTGGAATAAGCTTGTGCTCGAGCCGGAGCACCTCGCTGACCGCGTGGGCGACGCCTTGTCCCGGATCGACGCGCAGTACGAGCTCGCAGAGCGGCGCGCGCCGCCGCGTGCCGCGCAACCGCCCATTCCCCCCGCCGTCCGACGGGGCCTCCTCTTCACTAGGCGTGCGAGTGGCGAGAGCGTCGTCGTCTCCGCGCGCAGTGGCGACGTGGCGATGCGAGTGCTCGTCTCCGAGGAGGCGGACGGGCACTACTCCATCTCGTGCACGCGCCTCTCGGGCGACACATTCTCGTACCACGCCGCTTTCCGCCAGCTCAAAGCGGCGTTGGGTGAGGCGCTCACGCAGCACCCGCTGCAGTCGCGCGGTTTCGTGACGCCGCCGACCGGCGCGGCCCGCGGCGCGCTGCCTTTGGCGCGCGCACTTCCCGCCCTCACGGCTCCATGAACAATTTGGCCTCTTCCGATCGTGTGATTGAGCTTGGCCTCTTCCATTATTGCGCCGCGCCAGCCGACGCGGGCGAGGAGTTGCACCGCGGCGCTCCGCCCCTGCAGAGTGCATTTCCCCTCGCGATCGTCGGCTGCGTGGTGCCCACGAGGCGGCGCATGGGCCGCCCGGCCCGCCCAGTACACACGAACACACGATGTTTTGCTTCGATGGTCTGTTTCGTCCTTGCCCCCTCTCTGTTGATTGTGCGTCTGTCTGCGGAGCGTGCGCTACTAGAGCTTTGGTCGCACTCCGTCAAGCGCACACCCTACAATAAACCACATCCACGACTCGCACCAATACATCGTTATGGGCCCGTGCGCCGTGGCCGTCGGTGGCGCGCAAGAGGTAACGGCGGAGGCTCAGGCCGCCCCTTCCAGCCCCCCGCGCTCGCACTGTCCTCATGCGTCGAGGCTGTCCGCCGCCTCGGGGAAGGCGGAGGAGATGCACCCGATGCGGTCCAGCCGGTAGACCCGGAGGTTGACGTCGACGTCGCCGAGGTGGAGCTTGTTGTTGTCTCCCCCCTCGTAGTAGAGCAGCGTGTAGAGCGCTAGCTCGAACTCGGGCGAGACGCCGACGAACATGCCGGAGACGGGCTTGGTCTCGCCCTCCCACTCGAACTGCACCGAGAGGAAGTGCTCGGTGCCGTCGGGCGGCTCGTCGGGGCGCCGGCCGCGCCGCTTGGGCAGGATGTAGCCACGGTAGTCCAGGTGATTGCAGCGCTCCTCAAAGTAGAACTGGATCCAGTTGTGGAAGCCGGCTATGGTGATCCGGCCATCGGGCGTCGTGTCCTCCTCGCCCAGGAAGACGTGCTCGAAACCGCTGCTCGCCCCCTTGGCCTCGCCGCGCCCGAACGACTTGAACCACACCTTGAAGATTTGCTGTGCAAAGGCACGGCTCGACTTTGGCGCCTTTTGCTTAGCCTGCAGGTACTTCCAGAGGTATTGCCCCACTGGCTCCTCCAGGCATTCGTTCAGAAAGGCGTAGCTCTCCTCAACCTCGTGCGGGGTCAGCCGGTCCTCCACGCTCGTGCTGCGGGAGGAGGCGCGAGGAGGCAGTGAGGGGTGTGTGCGCGGGCGACCAACCGGGTAAGGGCGGCCGGGTGAGAGGGGGGGGGGTAGGCGGGGAGGGCTGCAGGGCATGGCCGCTGCGCTGCGCCTGCGGTCGTAGTTATCGAGGAGCTGCATGAAGGCCCGGTAGGTATCGCGGCTGAAGACCTCCTCCTCGACCCGTTCAAAGAGGCGCTCCTCAGCGGCGTCCCCCCGCTCCCAGATGGTCTTGCCTCCGCCAACGTTGAGCACATAGTCCTTACCCGGCTTGAGGCGGTTGTGGTCCAAGTCCCACCTATAGGAGAGGGCGCTCTCATCGTCGCTCGGATGGTCCATCGCCGGCTAGACGGTCAGCCCGGCGCGCACAGCTTGGCGCAAGCGAGTTGAATGTCGGCGAGCTCCTCTGCAGACGGCTCGGTCGTTGGCAGCTGCTCAGTTTCTCCCTTGGAGCCGCGGAAGTCCTGAACCGCCTTTGGCGCCTCGGGTGGGCTAACCCGCGCGAGATGGCAGAGCTGGAAGTGCTCGAAGAGACCCCGTGCGTCGAAGGTCTCTGCCTCGTGCCCGCATGCTGCCCCGAGAGGGCAGCGCAAACGCGTGAGGGTCGCTTCGCGCCCAACTGGCGGTGTGGTGCGCGGCTTTTGCCACGGGGGGGGCTGCCCGCCAAAGACCGCCTCTGCCTTGTTGATGCGCGTCGATGCGACCGCTGCCGCCCCGCCGGGAGGCCCCGCACCCCACGCACCACCTGGCTTTGCTGCCGGCGGAGTAGCTGGGGCCGGCGCTGCGGCGGCGGCGGGCGGCGCAGCTGGCGGGGCCGCCGTTGGCTGATTCAGCAGCTCGACAGCAGCAATCTGGCCAGCCTTCTGAGCGAGGGCGAGGGGCGTGGCACCCCGGCTATCGGCGATGCTGCGATCGGCGCCGAGACGCAGCAGCTCGGTGACGAGCGCAGCGTGGCCCTTGCTGGCAGCACCTGCGGAGAGCGCAAGTGTTTCCGCGGCGCCCACACCGGAGCACCTTCGAGGCTGTGGTTGCATGGTGTATTTGCCAAATACACCCTCTCTCCCCCTCCCTCCCTCCCTCCCTCCCTCCCTCCCTCCCTCCCTCCCCCTCCCCCCTCTCTCTCCCCCTCTTTCTCTAATGAGTTCAGGGCGTGGAGAAATCTACGCGTGGCGGCAGTGGAGCAGCGTGCGCGAGTCGAAGATGCCGCCCGTCTTCTTCGCATTGAGCAGTGCCGGATTGGCCTTTAGCGCAGCGACGACCGCGTCGACCTTGCCGCTGCTTGCAGCGACGTACACGTCCGGCTCCGCGGGAGTGGAGGCCTCGGCCGGCGTCGCGCTGCTGCGCCCCGACGAGGAACGGCCCGAGCTCCCGCTGCTCCGCCTGTTGCACCATACTTGCGTACGCGTTGGCTGAGTAAAGGGCAACGGGGTAGGTGGCAGGCGCGGACCGGCTGCTGTTGCTCTGGCGATCGGGCCGGAAGTCTGCACTCTCGACACAGCTGTAGCCATGCTCCGACGCCAAAGCGGCGCTGCCGCTGGCCATCAGCGCTGCCAACTCGGCACTGGGTGCCGCCTCACTGGTGGATGACTTTCGCTTGACCATGTAGGTTTTCGCCTGAGAGAGGGGATTGGGGCGACGGTTTTAGGGGCTCGCGTACGAATCACGCCGACGCGTGCGCTCCAGATGCTACTCCTTGCTGTGTGGCGAGAATGGCGAGTGGGGAGAGGGTAGCCCACCTTGTCGTCAACCAGAACGCCAAGGCCGCGAAGCTCATTGCGAAGCTCGTCCGCTCGCGCGTAGTCGCGTTTCCTCCGCGCCTTGATGCGAGCTGCGAGGCAGGCGTGCATGAGTGCCTCCCTCTCTGTGTCCATCAGAGGCATCGCCCTGCGCGCAGGTCGCCGGCGCAACAAGGGACGCGCGCGTCGCCGTTTTTCGTTCCCGTATCCCCGACGAAAGCCATCACGCGATGACGAGACCCGAGTACGGACGGACACCTCGTCGGCGTTTTCTCTGGGTACACGGTCATGCACACTAGTACGTACTCTCTCACTACTAGTACGGAGGTGGGAGATACAAGTACAGCCGTACGCATCGCCCCGGGTCGGTCGGCGACTCAGTCAGCATTTCCTCTACATTTGCGCCATTTCGTGCGCTGGCGCTATGTCCTCCGGGTCGACGGAGTCGGAGGTCGCTTCGTTGAGGAGCCTATGGGACGTGTGCATAGCGTCGTGCAGGCGGAACGAGCTTCACATGGGCCGGGGGCGGGCAGGGACGCGGCTGCTTCTGCTGCCGACTCCGGAGAAGCTTGGCTAGGATGGTGAGCAGCGGGATCATGAGGAGCAGGGTGACGGCCATCATGAAGCCGGACCCCGCGAGCATGCCGGCGATGAAGCCCGTGCTGTGCTCCATGGAGGGGTACACGGGCGGTGGCATCGGCGGCGGGGCGGGTGGCGGGGCGGGTGGCGAGGGGGACGACGGCGGCGCGCGCGGGACCGCGGGCAGCAGCATGTAGAAGTCGAAGTCGTCCTTCTCCCACCCCTCGGGGCAGTCGGCAGAGTGCGTCCACTCCACCCAGCACTGCTTCCGCTTAGTGTTGAAACCGTACAGAAAGAAGGTGCAGTTGCCGTAATTGGCGCAGCTGTCGGCACACTCCTGCGGCGTGTCCACGTCGCGGAGCTTTGTGTTTGCGCCGTCGTCGCACTCGTAGCCCGCCTTGATGCGATGGAAAGACGCGTCCGTCGACGCGTAAGTCCACTGGTCGTATGAAACATGCGTGTCGAGCTCAGGGCTGGGAAGAAGCGTGGATCCGCCGTCGACAGGCGTGTCTGCCGGCGAGTCGTTGAGCTTGTAAAAGTCGTACAGGTCAACTTCCCAGCCCTCGATGCACGTCTCGTTCGCCGTATACTCCTGGTAGCACCGCCCTGCCTTGTCACCGAACCCGCTCACAAAGAACTCGCATCCCGGGGTCGACTTGCACCGCCGGGCACAGCCGGCCGGCGTCAAGACATTCCCGAGGAGGGTGTCGTTGCTCAGGCACTCCACTGCGCTGGCGACTAGGTCGAAGGACGCGGATGTGTGCGATAGGTTGGCAAGCATATGTGTGTATGTATCTTGTGACTGTGTGAGACGGGTTCGGACTATTTGCGGGGTATGGTACGAGGGCTGCCCCGGACCGATTTACGCCCCGGCGGGGATGGATTTGCGGGTTTCCCCGTGCCGCGAGACTTGGGCGGTATCTCCCGCGATGTGTCGCGGACAAACCCAAGTAGACGCCCCTTGGGCGGGATCGCGTCTTACTTACACAAGAGGAACTATAACACATCGCTAGTCATGTACAATCATGAGAACTGGGTCCAGGCCCCATAGTGAGGTGGTCTCCCAGTCTAGCGCACCTCGCGCCCGGCGGGCGGCGACCTGTCCGTCCACCGACCCCTCCGCCCGCGCGTGCCAACGCCGCCTCCACCGCCGAGTCGAAGAGCCGATGTAGACCCGTCGTCCGTCCACCGTGTGGTACGCCGCGAAGCGGCCCGACGCCCAGGGAAGTCGGCAGCCGCGCGAGCCCGACGCCTGCTCCTGCTTGCGCACGCCTGCGTAGCCGGTGCTGCTGCGACTCGAGAGGTGCAGCCGCCAGCCCTGCGCCTCTGTCACCACCGCCGGCGCCTCCCCCGCGGGGCCCATGTGGGATGGACCTGCGAAAGCGCGGGGAAGGGAGAGTGCATTCAGAAGGCAGAACCTGAGCACAAGTGGGGGGCTTGCTCGCGAGCCTTGACTTGCATCGACTTGATTACAACGCGGAGCCATCGCGGGTAGCCAGAGGCGGCGGACCGATCAGCATGGGCGGCGTGTCATTCTGCAGTCGATCGCCGCCGAGCGGCATAGCGGCGCCGTCGCGGGTAACCAAAGGCGGCGGGACGGCGGGAGAGGGCGGTGGTGCGGGCGGTGATGCTGATGATGTGGCCATTGGCCGCCGCCGCGTCCTCTTTGCGAGCGCTCTCGACTTCCGTCCCTTTTTACGCTTGTCCCCCCCCTTGCTCGTGTGTCTGACTTTTCGCCGGGTCAGGCCACTTGCTGTCGGCCGTCTACTTGGGTTTGTTGGTCGCCGGAACCCACCTCGAGACCATACCCCCCCACCTGCTGACAGACCCTCCCTTTGCCGCCACCACCTTTGCCGCCTCCGCCGGCATCGCCGCCGCCCTCGCCGCCGCCCTCGCCGCCGCCGCCCTCGCCGCCGCCCTCGCCACCGCCGCCCTCGCCTACCCCGAGCCCACCACTGCCCTCACTGCCGCCCTCGCCGCCACCACCAGCGCCACCGCCGCCATTGTCACCCTCACCCAAATCTCCCCCCCCCCTACATCCGCCACCCGCTCCCCCCCCGCCCACGCCGCCGCCACCAGCCCCGCCGCCACCCGCGCCTCCTCCGTCCGCGCCACCGCCGCCCGAGCCGCCGCCGCCTGTGCCACCTCCATCGCCGCCACCACCATTGCCTACTTCGCCCTCACCACCACCTAGGTCACCACCACCCTCGCCACCGCCGCATCTGCCGCCACCCGTGCCGCCACCGCCCACGCCGCCGCCACCAGCCCCGCCGCCACCCTCGCCGCCGCCACCATCGCAGCCCCCGACGCCGCCCCCGCCCTCACCACCGCCCTTGCCGCCTCCACCGTCGCAGCCGCCCTCCCCACCGCCACCCTCGTCGCCGCCCTCGCCGCTGCCGCCCTCACACCCGCCGCCACTACCGCCGCCGTCGCCGCCACCCTCGCCGCCGCCACCATCGCAGCCCCCGACGCCGCCCCCGCCCTCACCACCGCCCTTGCCGCCTCCACCGTCGCAGCCGCCCTCCCCACCGCCACCCTCGTCGCCGCCCTCGCCGCTGCCGCCCTCACACCCGCCGCCACTGCCGCCGCCGTCGCCGCCACCCTCGCCGCCGCCACCATCGCAGCCCCCGACGCCGCCCCCGCCCTCACCACCGCCCTTGCCGCCTCCACCGTCGCAGCCGCCCTCCCCACCGCCACCCTCGTCGCCGCCCTCGCCGCTGCCGCCCTCACACCCGCCGCCACTGCCGCCTCCGTCGCCGCCTCCGTCGCCGCCGCCACCATCGCAGCCCCCGACGCCGCCCCCGCCCTCACCACCGCCCTTGCCGCCTCCACCGTTGCAGCCGCCCTCCCCACCGCCACCCTCGCCGCCGCCCTCGCCGCTGCCGCCCTCACACCCGCCGCCACTACCGCCGCCGTCGCCGCCTCCGTCGCCGCCGCCACCATCGCAGCCCCCGACGCCGCCCCCGCCCTCACCACCGCCCTTGCCGCCTCCACCGTCGCAGCCGCCCTCCCCACCGCCACCCTCGCCGCCGCCCTCGCCGCTGCCGCCCTCACACCCGCCGCCACTGCCGCCTCCGTCGCCGCCACCCTCGCCGCCGCCGCCCCTGCCGCCGCCACCCGCCCCCCCGCCATCCACGCCGCCGCCGACACCCACGCCGCCACCGCCCTCCCTCACGCCGTCACCGCCGCCTCCCACGTCGCCGCCGCCCTCGCTGCCGCCCTCGCCGCCACCTCCCACGCCATCACCGCCCACGCCGCTCGACGTCGAGGCTGAGCCATCGACGCCTCCAACGCCCGCAACGCCTCCACAAACGCCACGGCCCAAGCCGCCTGTGCTGCCACCTCAACCGCCAGGCCCACCGCTGCCATCGCCGCCGCCGTGTCATGACAACTGCAAGAGCAACACCTACGGCTGGGATCGCAAGTGCTATTGGCAGCGGAGTTGCGCAGGCTGCGACGCGTGCTACAACACCCCTCCTCCCGCGCCCGCGACCTGCCACATGTGTGATAACAAGCTCTCGCCGTTCATGGTCCGCAACGGCATGGCCTGCGAAGCCTTCAACGGGCTGCGAGGGTGCACCACTGAGTGGTGGCAAAGGCCGTGGAATCGATTTTGCCGGCTGACGTGTTTCGAGGCCGGCCATGGCTACATCGGCGATCACTGCTGTACGAACTTGACCTCTGCGGGCCCTGCGCCCACAGGAACAATACCCATATAGATCGATATAGTCCCCAATGCTGTGCAAACAATGGATGGGGCCTAAACTGAATCCAACGTGCGTCTCGACGACGTCGACGCACCGGGCACCGCACAGTGTGTTGGGGTGGTTTTGTGTGCGCCGTGCGACTGTGTTGACTGGTGTGTGTGTGTACCACCTTCGTATGTGTGTTTTTATCCCCGGGCTTAGGCCATGTATACCCTTACGCCTAGCCTCTGCTGTGTGTGTGTGTATGTGTGTTCTGTCTATTCTGACTTCTGTGACTGTGTGTGTGATTAAATACGGCTTCGCTCTATACAGATTACAGTAAAGAGAATTTTAGATTTTACAACTTACTCCCTCGCACGACACCAAGATTCTTTATCCTTCAGCTACACGAATTGAAGGCGAAAGTTTTCAGGTGATTCTCTCTCTTTTGTTACAACGATTCGTTTGGAGACCAACTGCTGATAAACTGACACTCGCGGCCGCTCTCTCCTGTTCACTTGTATGTGGAGACTCTCACGACTCACCGCCTCCCCCCTTCAGCACACTCCCCTGGCGCTCGCACCCTCTCGGCCGCGGCGACCTGTTCCGCGGACGGCACCTTGAGATCCCACACGAGGCCGAGCGTCTCGAGCGCGCGCAGCGCGGCGTAGGTGGCGTCGAGCTCGTGCGCGGCCAGCCCCTGCCGCGCGCTCCACCGGAAGGCGTGGTGGTTGTTGTGCCTGGCGAGTGCGGAGGCGGCGGTGGGAGGGAGGGGGGGGGAAGGGCGACGGGAGGGCAAAAAGGGGGGGGGGCGCCATCCGTCGCCGAGAGTCAGCATCGCGACCCACCACACGTTGGTGGAGGTGTCCGCGCCGCCCGTCTCGAAGCGGCGGGTGCCGCCTCCGAGGTCGCCGTGGCAGAGCGATCCGATCGCGAAGATGCTGTTCCAGCAGCAGGTGACCGGCACGACGAAACCCCACAGCAGCGCGCCGCCGCCTCCGCACGCGTACAGCGACGCCGCCAGCAGCAGGCCGGGCGCAAAGTGGAGCTTGTCGAGGGCGGCGAGCTCGGGGAACGAGCGCCAGGTCCGCGCAAACTTGTCGAGGGGCGGGTCGTGCTCCGCCGACGCCCAGTACCAGCCCATGTGCGACCAGAGCCACGAGCCGGTGACGGGCGAGTGCGGGTCCCTGCCGGTGTCCGAGTGCAGGTGGTGGTGGTTGTGGTGCGAGCTCCACCAGATGGGCCCGCGCTGCCACGCGAGCGAGCCGAGCAGGGCGATGGCGAACTGGAAGGGGCGGCTCGTCCGGTACGAGCGGTGCGAAAAGTAGCGGTGGTGCCCGCCCGTGATTCCAAACGTGAGGAGCGCATACATGCCGGCGCCGCCCGCGACGTGCGCCGCGCTCGGAGGCGCCACCAGCAGCGAGCCCGCCGCGTAGAGCGTCGCGGCGTGGAAGGAGAGGAGGACGGGCGGCAGCGTAGACTTGACGGGGAACGGGGGCGAGCCGGCGCGGTAGGCGCAGGCGACGACGAAGCGCTTCAGATCCATGAACCGGTCCTCTGTCGCCGGCCGCTCCACCGATCCAATCGGCCGAAGGAGCCACTCGAAGGGAACGCCCGCCGCGCCGCCGCTCGCGACTACGCCGCCGCCGTCAAGAGAGAATCTCTGAGCTTCCGCTCGGAGGCTGCTGCTGCGGCTGCTGCTGCTGCTGCTGCTGCTGCGGCTGCCCCCGTGGCCGCCGTCAGAGTGCTTGGGCGGCGGCGGGTGCGACAGCACTTGGCTGTGCGTCGAGACGCGCAAGGCCGTCCTCCTCCACAGGCGTCCGCACGCCTGGTGTAGAGGTCCTACGCGCGGGCAAAGGCGGGCCATTATTGCTCGCGCGATCGGCGAGGGTTCGGACTTTTTGCGGGGTATGGGACACGCTATCTTCACCTTTTCGGGTCAACTGCTCGTGATTGTCCGTTCGTTCCTCGGACGGAATCTCCGCCGCAAATAGTCGCCGATAACCCGATAGCGAGCGCAGGTGTCATGAACGTCCAACTGCCGCACGGAAAGAGTGTCGAGCGTTCAAGTCCCCAACGGCAAGGTCGCAAGGAAGGGTGGGAGGGAGGGAGGACCAAGCGAGCACCTACCTAGACCCACCTACCTACTGACAGCCAGCGCGCAGCGGCGTGGAGGTAGGAGAGACCAAGCACCCACAAAAATCCCCGGTGTGGACGATTTTTTCCGCGGTATCCGCGGCGGGATATGGCGGGATATGGCGGGATACCGGGAGATACCGGGAGATACCAGGAGATACACGTGGATATGATGAGATACGGAGCCCCCACGATGTGTTCACGACAACGTCCGTCAGCTAATCGGACGCGACGGGCGAAACCTTTCGCGCTTCGACCGGCCGACACGTCATTTGAGGCCTGAAGCCCTGTTCACGCGCGCGCGAGACGTGCAGACAGGGTTGCCAGGTGAGAGCGAATGGCGCGGTTCACGCCTCGCACAACAGAGAGAGAGATGCGCTCTGCATGGTGGGACATAAAAGAGAGCGAGTACTTGGGCGAGTAGGCTGTGCGGTCAACGCTGCCGCGCGCGACTTTGCGCGCGAGGCGGCGCAGCTTGAGAACGGCGGTGGGCGAGAAGCCGCCGCCGAACGTCTTTGTTGTTGGTTTTGTAGTCAAGCGTAAACGCCCAGGAGTTGGTGCCTGGGTGACTTGCTGATGAGAGCGCCTTCCAGGCGGGTAGTCGTGCCCCTCACCCAAGGTCATACGGCGGCGTCAGAGGGGGGGAGGGGCGCGAAGCGTGAACATGGAGGCAAGCAGGTGGTGGGCTGGCCAAAGCCGGCGACCTCAAATGTCGTAGCTTGTGCGGATATCGCTGAGCGTGAGAGGGACCGGATCGGCAGCAGCACGGGAGGAGTCAGCGGCCGGAGAGGCCGGAGAGCCATCCGACGGAGGCCGGTCGTGCATCGGCGCGTCGGCGGTAGGGGCCGTGGGGGCGGCGGCATCCATCGCTGCGGGTCGCTGCGGGCCGACGATTGCTCGACGGGCGGTCAGCTGGGACGCGTACGGTTAAACCAAGAGCGTCGGCGCGGACACGAGAGACTTATAAGGGTTGACGCGCAAAAGACATGTTTCTTCGCGGGTCGCTTTTCTTTAAAAGCACGTCTTGTCCTTTCGCCTGCGGAAACGTTCAGCTCTCCCTTAGATGTTACCCCGGAAGCTCCGACGAGTTGCCACCTCAGTGGGGCTCGGACCTGCGCACTGCGCATCTTCGCCATGCCGGAGACCCCCAAGGGCAAGGCTGCGGAGACGGACTGGGTGCCCCCCCGCCCCCGCGCATCCCCCCCCTCCCGCCCTACGCGCCCGAATCGCCCAAGCACATCGGCCCGCACCCCACAGGGCGAAGACTGTCTCACGCCGGCAAGCGAGCCCCAAACGCCGGCCAAGAAGGTGTTCAAGGACACGGTCTTCGGCGACAGCGTCGAAGACAAGGTGTTCTCCCCGCTCCCGGCCGCACACCCCACCCACCGCCCTGACACCGCACCGTTCCATCAGCACACGGTCGAGTGCACGGTGGATCCGAGCAGCGGCGTCTTCTATGTCGAACCCGGCATGGACAAGACCACACGGGTTCGAATCCCCTCTGTTCCCGCACCCTCCCGCGCGGGGCTCATCCTGACTCCCCATATCGATAGGACGAGCTCAACACGAAGCTCTTCAAGGTCCTCGACTCGCACAAAGAGATTCATCCAAAGATGACGCCGTTCGACCGCTCCAAGCAGAAGGCTATCATCTTCCAGGGCAGGACGACTGGGCGCGAGACCAAGTACGCCAACCTGTACTACGAGGGCACCGAGGGCTGGACCAACGTCCACCACTACCGCAAGCACTTCATCACCACTCCCAAGTACCTCTGCAAGGCGCGCGCGCTTGCCAGCAGCCGCGTCACCAGCCACTGCCTTCCCGCCACCCACAATGAGATATCATGACCTCCCACCCTCTGCTTGCAGCGGCTCGCTGAGGTGGTGAAGGTGGTCCCCGGCTTCAATGAGGAGGTCAAGTTCTACAAGCGGGTCACGCACGAGGGCGGCGCCATCGAGACGGAGCCAACGACGCTGGACGAGATCATGCAGATGGAGATCATACTATTCGAGACCGCGCTGCGCGCGGTCCGCGGTGCCCCGCGCTGCGCGCGGTGCCGGTGGTACCCTCGGAACCCTCGGAACCCTCCGGATGGCGCCCGAGCGCGCTGCGCGCGCTCGCCGAACCCTCGACACCCGGCGCTGCGCGCCGGGCGCGCTGCGCGCGCATGTCGAAGGTTGGGGCCCGTGACGAACCCTGAATTTAGAAAGAAAACAGACAACCCAAGGGAGGGATGGGAGAACGGCTTTTGTGCAATGAAAGGCATCATGTTTTTTAAAGAATTTCCATCGCTGCGGGTCGCTGCGGGCCGACGATTGCTCGACGGGCGGTCAGCTGGGACGCGTACGGTTAAACCAAGAGCGTCGGCGCGGACACGAGAGACTTATAAGGGTTGACGCGCAAAAGACATGTTTCTTCTTCGCTCGCTTTTCTTTAACCCTCCGCCTTCCCTTGTTCCACCGCCCTTCATGACACCGCCGCCGCTGTACCCTCCGCCGCCGATCGTGCCTCCTTCGCCGCCGAGCCACCCTCCCTCGCCGCCCGGGCCCGAGGCCACCGCGCTCGACATCTCCCTCATCGTCGCCGTCCTCCTCGCGGCGCTGCTGCTGCAGCAGGCGCTCAAGTCGACCCGCATCGCGTCGCAAGTGGTGACCGGCTCCGGCCTGTGCATGCTCCTCGGCGCTGGCGTCAACCTCCTCCTCTTCTTCTTCTCTCAGCAGAGCGCCGACCTGCTGCCGGTCGCCGGCCAGCTATCGCTCGACACCGAGGCCTCCGGCTCACTCGCGCACGACGTCATCTACTTTGGCCTGCTGCCGCCCATCATCTTTGAGGCGGGCTTCCACATGCGCAAACGGACCTTCTTTGCAAACTTCTTCACCATTGCGGGCTACGCCGTCGGCGGCACGCTCATCGCGCTGCTCACGACCGGCTCCCTCGTCTACCTCCTCTCCTCCGCCTCTGCCACCTCGACCCGCTTCACGCTGGCGCAGGCGATGGTCTTTGGCTCGCTCATCTCATCCACAGACCCCGTCGCCACCCTCGGCGCCCCGACGCGCGTGCGCGCGCCGCCGCCGCCGGCGGCACCCTCACCGACTTCTCGAAAGCGCCCTGTAGGCATCCTCAAGCACGTGCGCGCCGCGCCGCTCCTGCACGACCTCATCTTTGGCGAGTCGGCGCGCAGCGATGCCCTCTTGACACAAGCTTCAACTCGCGTGTAGTGAGTGGAAACAAATGTCACGCGACAGGCGCTCAACGATGCCCTCTCGATCGTCCTCTTCAACGTCGCGCAGCGCAAGACTGCAGCGACCGCGCGAGACCGCCGCGATCACACCCGCGGCGCGGCCCGAGAGCATAGGTGTTCTTCGCGTACACAAAGTCGCCGCTCGCCGACCAGTCCGACGCGGGCGTCGCGCGCGCGATCGGGTGGGTGCTCACCGACGTGCTGCGCGCGCTGGCCGGCTCCGTCTCGCTCGGCCTCGCCCTCGCTCTCGCGTGCGCGTACCTCACGCGCCGGCTCAAGGCGCTGCACGGCACGCCGCGCGCCGCTTCGCATGCGCGAGCTTAGCCGAGATGAGCCGAGATTGGCCGAGATTGGCCGGGGTGGCCGCGGACGCGCAGTCAGCCCTGGATGCGAGATGCGGGTCCGCGCATCCCGACTAGCACTCGAGATCTCTGCCTCTTGCCGCCTCCCCCGCAACACACCGCCCGCACTTCCGCCTCACACCGCCACGCACACACCGCGCCGCGCCGCCGCACACACACACCGCCCTCCGCACCGCTTTCGCGACCGAGCCAGCCCGCCGGACCCTGCCCGCGCTTCCCTGCGCCGTAGGCGCTCGAGCTCGCGTTGCTGCTCGGCTTTGCGCTGCTCGCCTTCACCTTCTCGGAGCGGTGCGGCGTGTCGGGCGTCATGGCGCTCTTCTTCTGCGCCGTGGCGATGCGGCACTACACGTACTACAACCTGAGCAAGGTTGCGCAGCACTCCGCGTCGGTCCTCTTCACCACCCTCTCCGAGGTGCCCGGGGCGTCGCTCGCCGTCCTCGTCGCGTTTCTTCTTCACGCCGCCGAATTTCTTCGTCTAGGTGTCCGAGGCGTCGCTCGCCGTCCTCCTCGGCGTCGCGGCGGTCGACTACGTCGTCAAGGGCCACCCAGCCTAGAGGCGGAAGACACTCTCCCCCCTCTTCACTCCAGCTCGAGAGGACACGCAGTTCTGCGTCTAGCTCTCTGCTGCAGCTGGTTTCACTGCAGCTGGTTTCACTGCAGCTGGTTTCACTGCACACGTAGACTCGATTCTTGGGGTGCTGTTAGTACACAGCACGAGACCTCACCCCCGCCCGAGTCTGGTGTGTTGGTGACGCAGGCCTCCAAGCTGACGACGCGCCGCCCGCCCACACCCACGGCGGCATCATCCAGACCTTCAGCATCTGGGACCTGCCCCTACTCGCGCTGGGCGTGCCCATCCTGCTGCTCGCGCGCGCGCTCAACGTCTTCTCCATCTCGGCGCTCGCCAACCTCGGCCGGCCGCCGCATCTCCGCATCTCGCTGCGGATGCAGGCGGGCGCGGTGTGAGCCCCCAAAGCGCGGTGTCGTGCCCCCCCCCCCCCCCCCGCGCGCGCCGCGCGCGCGAGTGTGTCCGTGGAGGCGTCGCCGACGCGTCCACCGCTCTGTGTACGCGTCGCGCCCGGTGCCCCTCTGTAGGTGGTGATGTGGTTCGCGGGCATGCGTGGCGCCGTCTCCTTTGCGCTCGCCATCACTTTGCCCGCCGCAACGGGCCACGACGCGGAGGCTGCATGGACTGTCCCCATCGTCACCACCACCCTCGGCCTGATCCTCTTCCTCAACCTCTGCTGGGCCCCCTTCACCGGCAGCCTCTCCCCCTCCCCCTCCCTGACCTCCCTCCCACCCCCACCCCACCCCACCCCACCCGCTCCAGCCCATCCCAGCCCCTTCCAGCCCCTCCAGTCCCTTCCTCGCACTCCCACCCCCTCCCTCGCACCTCCGTCCCCTCCGCCTCCGTGGCCTCGGCCGCACGCGACACAGCCCCTGACCCTCGCCCGACACGGCGCCATCGCCCGTGCGCGCAGGCCCCCTCATCCGCCTCCTCGACCTGCAAGCCGACGACGCGCGACGCGCAAGCTTCCGCGCGGAGCTGCCCTCCGCTGCCTCCTCCCTGTCCTCGCTGCCCATACCATCTCCGCAGCCTCCGCCGCCGATCGCCGCAGCGCCCTCCGCCGCTGCCGCCGCGCGGCACACCGCGCAGGCGGATGCGCCAGGCTCGCTGCGCTCCGAGCCCCTGCTTGCGGCGCCGCTTGCCGACGTCGAGGTTGGCTCCGGCGCTGCCAGCGGCGGCATCGGCCCGCCGGGTGGCGAGGGCGGCGGCAGCCCAGCATTGACGCAGCCGCTGCAGCTCGGTCGCTCGTCGACCGCAAAGGTGCAGCGGGAGGCGCGCGCACCCTCGGCCGTGCACAGGGCGTGGCGACGGCTCGATCAGGACGTGATGAAGCCGCTCTTCGGGGGCCGGCCCGACCGTGGAGGCGGAGAGGTGGAAGAGGGCGAGGAGGCCGAGGAGGGGCCGGGGCGAGGGCCGGGGTACGGTTCGGGATGAACTAACGTACTTTACCGTAGAGCCGTGCCGTCGGCCGCTTCGTTGTTCCTTCTTCATGTTGTACTTAAACATTGTACACTATTACACACGGCTCCGTGTCTTGACATAAGGGAATGCGCCCACCATATCGCCTGGCCGACTGCTATCTCGTGCTTTGAGTGTTCCTGGACAGAGCTCAGAGGTGGACTGCGGGGTTGGAAGGGCATAGCGGGTGGGCAGGGGAGGCCCTAAAACGGCGGGAGGGGTAGGGCTATATCGATAGAGCTAGAGGGCTCAATCACCCCTCCACCCCTCCACCCTCCACGCTCCACCCCTCCACCCTCCTGGAGCGAGAGGTGGGTCCGTCCTCGAGCCCTCCCACTTCCACCCCTCCGACCGGAGGGCTCGCCAGCCCACAGGGCTGGAGGGGTCCCCGTCGGATCGGCGTCGGGAGGGCTCCACAGGGTCCCATAGGGCTAGCGCGCTGGGAGGGTGGAGCGGTCCACCGGGGAGAGGGGTCAGGAGGGCTGGGCGAGGCGGGAGGGGTGGTGGGGTCCAGGAGGGCTCGCGCCCCCCCGAGCTCGGGTGGTAGGCAAGAGGGCTCGGGCGCCGGGTGGGCTCGGAGGGACGGTCGGACAAAGAGAGGATCTTCGTGGCGGGAGGGCTCGAGAGGGGTCGGAAGGGCCTCCGGGAGGGGTCGCAAAAAAAGAATGGCTTGGCGGCGGCGGCGTTGGCGGCGGGCTTGGCGGCGGGGGCGATGGCGGTGGTGGGGACGGCGAGGGGCGGGTGAGGGAGCGGGCGGCGACGGGGGAGGCGGGCTCGGTGGGGGCGGCGACGGGGAGGCGGCGGGCTTGGCGGCGGGCTTGGCGGTGGTGGCGATGGCGGTGGTGGGGGCGACGGAGGGGGCGGGCTGGGAGGCGGCGGCGACGGTGGAGGCGGGTTAGGAGGCGGCGGCGGGGGTGAGGAGGGGGAGAAGGCTTGGGAAGCGAGGAGGAGAGGTGGGGGGAAGCGAAGGGGGTGGGAGGGGTGTGGAATGGACGGGGGGTTGGAAAAGGCGATCGCCTGTGCCCGGCAAAGATGCCAGTCAGGCCGACGATGGTCATCGAGTTGAAGACGGCGGCGCGGCGACGATGTCGCCGACGCCCTCGTCCGACTCGGTCACGAGCGGGGCGAATCACCGTGAAGAACTCGGGCGCCGACGACCCGACCGCCATGAAGGGTGCGCCGGCGACGACCTCGGGCACACCTCTTGAGCACCTCGACCGCATCGATCGCCTCGGCGTGGAAGTCGTCGCAGACGATGGCGATGCCGACGAAGAAGTAGAACCTGCGCGGGGGACGGGGCGGGGGCGGGGTGAAGGTGGGGTGAGAGGGGGGGGGGGGTTGAGGGGGCGGGGTTGGACGGCGGGGGAGGGCTTGGTGGTGGCGGCGACGGGGGAGGCGGGCTTGGCGGCGGCGGGCTTGGCGGCGGCGGGCTTGGGGCGGCGGGCTTGGCGGCGGGGGCGATGGCGGTGGTGGGGACGGCGGAGGGGGTGAGGGAGCGGGCGGCGACGGGGGAAACGGGCTCGGTGGGGGCGGCGACGGGGGAGGCGGGCTTGGCGGCGGCGGGCTTGGCGGTGGTGGCGATGGCGGTGGTGGGAGCGACGGAGGGGGTGGGCTGGGAGGCGGCGTGGGCGCGAGAGGCCGGAGGGAGGCGGGATGGCGAGGGGCGCTTGCACAGAGGGCGTGCGCGTGCTGCGCGCCTGCTCGAGGCCAGGACGCTGTCGGCACGACCCGGGCTCTGCCCCTCCCGTGAAGAGCCCGACGGCCCTCTCGAGTAGGATGCCCTCGCCGAGCAGGCAGCGGCCCCCGGCACATATCGCTCCTCGCCGTCCTCGCCAAGCATCGCCAGCGGCTGCGCGGAGGTACAGTGTCTGGTGAGAGGAAAGGAAGAGAGGGGCCGCGATGGGTCGGGCGATAGACGGCCGGGGCGTCGAGGCCGATGGCGAGAGTTGCCCATATATTCGAGTTGCCCATATATGAGGGCAGCGACCGGGTCGCCGAAACGGCGCGTTGCCCGCGTGGGCGGCTATTTTTTTCGCGAGATTCTTTTGTCTTTTTTCTGTCGGTGCTCGCGTTCCATGGCCTCCCACCGCATCGGCGCCCGCGTCTCGGGCCTCTCGCCAGAACAGCTGTGCGCCATCATCGAGGCGCAGATTGATTGATTGATTGATGGGAAGGCGAAAGAAAGACAGTCCGACCAACGACTGGGACACCAACGCGGTATGGGTGTGGACGCTGGACGGGCGGTGACGGTCACACAGGAGCGACACACAGAACCACAAGACAAGACACTAGGCGCAGGCAGGTGCGAGCGACGCCGCGCTGCGCGTGGCGGAGGAGAACACGCCGCACGGCTGCGGGCCGCCGGCGGGATCCAGTGCGTGCGAAGCGCTGCACGGCATGTGTGTGTGTGGTGCCCGTGTCGAGTCATGCAACCACACACCGATTGATCTGTTTTTTGTCTTTCGAGGCCGCAGTGTACACGCGCGCTCGCGGGTCCTCCCGATCGAGCCGTAATAATCTCCTTACCGAGAGAACAACACAAATCACAATCATCAATTTTACAACAAAGGTCAAGTAGTGGACAAAGGGGCGGGGCGGATGTGCACCTGCTTATCGCATGCGCCATCGCACAGGACAAAGGGGTAGTAGACAAGGGGGCGGCGTTGTGTCTCTTACTGGGGCGTCGACCCGAGGACCTCGCATCCAGGCACGTTCCAAGGTGCCGATGGCGGCCCCGTCTTCTTCCAAGGCGCTTTCCAAGGCGGCCCCGGGCCGTCTTGCGACACAGGATATTTGTTGTTGTTGCAGATTTCAGGCTTGCCCGTATCCGTAACATCGTAAATGCTAGGGCATGTCGCCGCCCACGTCGACCCTGGCGGGTACAGATGGCATGCGAGAAATTTGCCGGTCCACGCTGCAAACTCGTGGAGCTTTGGGTCGTGTGGCTCATTATGGTCTCCCTTTTCCATGTTGGCAAAGACTTTGTTCGGCGCCATCGTAATGTTGTTGTACCATGCGTACGAGCATCCCGGGGTTGTGCAGTGGGCTCCTGTCCACGTGGGCTCCTTTCCCTTGTGCAGTGGGCAGTTCCCGGGATTGTTGTCCGATGGTCTGTCATCGCCATTCGCGGTAAGGAAGAAGGACGGTTTAGCGTAATGTGGGTAGGAGCAGAGATCGTCGCCGCCGTGAGAGAAGACCGTAGCCTTGATGTCGACACTGTGCTTGTTCTTAGCGTCTTCAACGAAACGTGGGAGGTGGTGCGCTCCTGCGGAGTGCCCCATTGCGCCGACACTACCCCAGTCAGCCTTGAACGAGGGGTAAGGTAAGGCGAGGTCCTTGCCCTTAGCAAGGTTCGCTTTGGCCCACGTCATGGCGAAGAGCAGGTCTTTGTCCCTCTTGCAATCATTAACATTGGACTTGTTCTGTATCCATGGAACTCCGTCGGTTTGGGGCGCAATGACGATCAGGCACTGCTTCGCAACGCTCTCTAGCCACGCATCGTACCCCAGCCCAGACACATCGTGCTTCGAGTAGTAGCCAGAGGAACCACGGTGAAACATGACAACCGGGAACCCTGCAGCAGGCGGCGGCCCAATTGGCTTTGGATAGAAGATCTTCGTCTTGGTCGAGCCATCGCCGCACGTGTACGGCACGTGGTCGTCGGGTAAAAAAGTTTCGTTTTTGATGACGCTGCACGGTGTCTGCGAAAAGCACTCGGCGATGCAGTCGGGGCGAAAGTGGATCGTCGTCCAGAAGAGGCAGCTAATCCCAGGGCTATGAGGGCAGGGCTCGCGTGAGCCTGCGTCCTCCGACTGGCCGTGGGTCGCCGCGAGCGCGAGAACGAGGAGGAAGGGCTGCTTCATCGTCTGCAAGCGAGGAGAGAGACACGCGACGCCCTCATAGCCCTGTTCGGCCTTGGGGCAATCGGAAGGGACAGAAGACACGCTGCGGGTGCACCTTGGTGGAACGGGGAAGGAGCGACAGGCTGGCGTCGCCGCCTAATCGACTCCCACGAAACCCGGAGACGCAATGTTCTCCTTTTTCTCCGGGTTTCCACGGAAAGAGAATTTAGTACGGAAAAGAAACGCAGCGTGCGTGC